GTTTTATGTGCCGTGTAAAAACTAAGGGCTGGAAGACATGGGATTTACGAAAGCGCATTCCAGTGGCGTCAATTAGGGTTCTTTTCCATGGTGTACGAATTAAATGGCAAAATCCCATACCTCAAGCTGAAAAGGATTAAAGATAGTATCGTTTCCCTTGTAATAGCAAAGCATCTATTAAAGATAAGATAGAGGCATCTTTGGGTGCGTACTGAAGAATTAAGTCAAAATAATGCTAACTACTGTTATCGACCATATTCAGAATGACCTAGTTTGTAACTGTGACAAGCTTTATGGTTACACTATAAGGTGTATTTAAGGGTGCTTGGAATAACAACTTTATTACAACATGAGGAAAGGAGTACAGGGATCTAGGTGTGAGTTAACATAAACTAGAAAACACCAGTATGTAAATGAGAATTGGATGAAAAGGGTAAGGAAGGAGCACTTAGTCCTAATAAAATTCTACAAAACAATGTTGTTATAGAGACCAAAGTCATTTCTATTGTTTAAATTTAGAGGCGGAACCCGTCTTTCTTTTGCTCAAAATAATACACAGATAGAATGGAACGAGTCGTTCCTCATTGTTGTCTTTATGAGCCTTGAATTCGCATCCAACTGTTGTGTTGTTTAAGAACAATTCATGCGCATCTGGAATAGTTATTACGGCGTCGGGCATAATGACCTCCTCAATGGCAATCGACATATGACGAGCCTTACCTTATAGCTCCTAATGCTCTCAAACGGCAACGTATGGAGCAGCACTGCTACTTTATAAGAATATGTTAAGATATTGGCGTTAAACTATACTGTTAGGTTAGTTCTCTTGGATACTTATGAATGAATTTATTAAATATGGGTTGCTTATATAAGGAGATTTTCTAACAGATCTAAAATGCGATTCGTCAATTCAGTATACAAAATAATCTAGGTTCTCATTCACGCTGATCAAGGCGTAAAAAACCTTAAGCGTTTAACGCTCCCGCACCCTACTCTTAATATCGCATGAATACTACATTGACATAATTTGAAATCAGTAAAGAATGCAAAATAGAGCATTCTATATTAAAGCAAATTTAGCTTTCTGGTCAAATGATAGCCTTTCAAATTGTGTTTGTGGACAAATCTGCTTTTAAATCCTAATGCACAAAGCTGATTACTTACTGTTCATTTAAAATCGTCTCTCAAGTTACCAAGTACTGCATGTATATATGCCTTCTTAATCACTCCAAGAGTGCTTTTATTAGATGGTTTTGGCTGGGAGGGTGGCAGTGATTATCGCAAGCACGCTCCCTGGCCAATCAGTATTCACCGTATGGCGTATTCATGCTCTGAAGGAGAAAGTGCATTAAAGACCTCACCAGAAAGTTGCCACCTCTAAGTTGCGAATTTTGACGTAAACGACTTTTTTTAATGCTATGCGATAATAGCCGCCTAATGGATGCATTGAAAGCGAATGTTTCCAAAAACCGTGGGATGGATGGGAATGCAGATGTACTCTTAGAATCAAAGTGATTGACTATAACAGCGAAATACGTTAAATGGTAGCGCATAACACTTGGCTACCATGGGGGGTTATGATAGAGTTCCTTCAAAAACGCGCAAGAAAACACTAGTTTTGGGGGCCACATTCGAAACCCGAAACGTTATCAAATGCGTGGTACACATCGTAAACCCGCAAAGCGCATTAAAATATACTACCCGTTTGATTTTCTTCCCTACAAACTCCTAGAGTAAGCCCACGGAATTTTTACGACGTTCTTAATTTAATGGCTTCATCTAATACATTCAAATGTGCCTAATTTCAAGTAAACTGGCGCCGTTCTAATATAATTTTGATTAAAAGAGGACAGAACATGAGAAGCAAACCTAATAAGTTGAATTTTGGCGTCCTTATAACAGCCTACATTTGTGTGTGAGTTGACCACTAATGCGCTTACTTCTTAGCCAAGCCGTAATAAACCCCCGCATCAGAGATTGTGCGGTGGGCGAAAACGCTACCTGATGTTTTAAGACAGACTTAGCCGGAAGCATAGGCATGCTTTAAGCATTCCCTAGGCTGATTATCGACAAGATAAGGAAAAAGTTGTTTACCGGCTCAGCAATGCCTTATTCGTTAAAGAATATTGGTTTTGGTTTTAGATGGATGAAAACGCATTTAGAGAGAAGGGACAAGGTGAGCCAGAGCGAGGAGACAAGCCGAAACCATCTCGGGCAGATTTCTAGTTTCGGCAGCTCATGTCAACTTTCTCGCACAAAACCGTAGTAAGTGCTAACTTCTCGGGAATTTGCCGTGCCAGCACTGCAGTTCCCTCAAGGATAAGATATGCTACCCTACTGATAAATAAGCAGTAGATAGACCATCACAGCTTTGCTAGCGCACCTGTAGACCTTGGGTTAAATAGACTGAACCCCTCGCTCACCATTTTATAAAAAGTCTTGCGATTTACGATTAAAACTCACAAACAAGACACAACATAGCACTAATTAGCCTTTCAGAGCGGTAAAACCAAACAAATATGGAGGTAACAATTTTATGAGAAGAAGCTCAGAAGCATTTAAACATGTTTGTGAATTTCAGCAGCGGATAAACTTCTTCTCTCCATACTGTGCATGACAACATCTTGTCAGACAAGCACGAAGAGGCGAATTCAAAAGGAGAGGATACAGAGGTTGCAACAAATTCAGGTAAAGCATTTGAGTAGACCCATTGGGATACAAGATCGATCTCATCCACCATGCTTTCAGTCATTTCCGTTAAAGCTTCAACGATATTATTAAACGCTGATAAGTCGCAGGACTCTTTCGCGATGGTTTTCTTCAGTGCACTGGTTAATGACTCACATAGACTGAAGATTCTCAAGGCCAATAAGCGAAGAAGGTTTAGTAAGTCGGCAACTTTCCCTGAACCGTGGGCAACAGATGTGCCGAAACTTAAGGTAACACAAGCACGAACCCTTGCACTAACATAGGAGCTAAGGTGTTCGTCATTCGACACAGTCATACCGAAATCAATGCAGTGTTTGTCAACCCTGGATTTCCGGCGATGTAGTGATGCTAAACCCGCACTACATTCGCATATGCTAACATAAACCTCATTCATCTGATTGAAAGATGAGCCAATCTCCTCCACAAGATGCGGTTCCAGCGTCTCCAACATCAGCACTAAGGATACAAAAAACAATGCATTGCCCAAGCCGACACATGTCCCCAGGTTCTAGGTACAGTAAAAGCATACCAATTTACAGATAACAAATAATTAACGATATTTCAACCAGTAGTTCACGCAAGTAGGCAGCAAATTCCTGTACTCCCAAGTAGCTTCATTTACGAGATCGAGCGAAAAACCCGATTGCTCGGAATGTGTTAACACCTTAATTGACGGTTCCAAAGACAATGAATATCCTACGGTGCAGGCACTGCAACAGGATAATTATTACATCCGCTGAATTGACTTACCGATCGGTTCAGGAACTTTTCAATGAAATGGTATTCGTGGAATAAGACAAAATAGTCAGTAGCGGACAAAATATGACCTCACTCAAAACCGAAAATCCCACCTGACTAAAAAACCCAACCAGTGGAATTAGGGGCAAGCTAACAGTCGTTAACAAGGCGAGATATCAAGAACAGCAAACCCGGCCCCGCCGTTGATACACTCACGCAGTTATTGACCGCATTCGGAAGGGGCGGATTTAAACCGATATCTGGCAAAATGTATCGCCCATGTCCTCAAAATAAACCAGACTCTAAAACTAAATCTAAGGCAAAATAGATTTTTTTCAGAAAAAATTACTAGTCATGATAGTAAAGAAATTTGGATCATCATAACAGCGGGCACACAGCATTATAACATTCAGGATATTGTCGAGGAAATAAAATCCAAAATATTACGAAATTCTGCGAAAAAACCTTGTTGATTAGATGCTGTTGGAACACTTAACATCTTGGTGTGGTAGATGTCAATTCTAAAGCATCTAGTAGTTCCCAGAATTCAATGTGCTAAAGACTTGCAGATATCAACAAGCTTTTATAACTATTTTAATAACTACCATTGAAAAAAGGCAGATTTTATCGTCACCACTATATGCATAAAAATGCATTTACCTACTGAATTATGCGCACACAATAACTTGTTTTGCATGCCATACTTAAAATTACTGGGTGTCAAACATTCCTCAGGAACAATAGTTGTTTATTTAACACATCTTGGTTCACATTCTCGTTATGCAAGATGGCGGCTTCCGGACAATATACCTGTTGACATTTCAATCCCCGAGCATTATCAACTTTACAGAATTTGCCTTAGACAGTTCTTTACGTTATTGCTAGTTGTTTTTCCGTAGCTTCTTGAGACTTCCCTAAAGATAAAGGACGGTCTAAACTCGGTATACAATAGGTATTTGACTACTGGCATGGACCGAGGACCAGCCCAACAGGCGTAGAGCAATGGCCAAGTCTAAAGTGGCTCTCTATTAAAACTGCGAGTTGAATTACCGTCGTACTACACTTCTTTACTACTCGGAACCGTTAGAGATTCGACAACGCCCAGCACGCTACAGCTTGTACGAATAATTTCTGCTGTTAAATAATTGGCGCAGTTGTTTAATTTAACTTTGACAAAGTTTGCAGGGCCGCTAAATTTGCTAAAATGCATGTCAGAGGATTTTGATTTGCTCTTTTCTACTAGGGAAATTGCTTGTGTCATTTCCTTTCGCTTGTATCGTAAATACACTTTTTCGCTATGTGCGTCTGAAAGCGTGATTATATTTTTGCTTAATCGCCTTATTTTCTGCGCTCTATAACAAGATACAAACCCTGGGGTTTTCCAGCATACTCGATTTGTTGCCCGCTAATATTTGGGCCTCATTTTCCCTGGAAAATAATGCACACTAAGTACGTGACAATAGGAATTTAATATTTGCACATAAGTGAATATTTTTAGGCAAGACTTAGAATCTGTGAATTACTGGTTTTAGTGAATCAACTTGGATGCATTTCGGTGCATGAATTATTAAAATTGTGCTGGTCAGGTGCTTTAGGTCTGCATTTCGCTATGTGGTGCTTTTGGTGAAAAGACCGAACCATCATACATTATGATGCAAAGTTCGTCCTCAAGTGATGAAGACTATGTGAGATTTGATGAAAGTAATTCAAGTAGAAAAAGTGGATATTTGCCTGATAGTCGTGGATTAGAAAATTTCAGGTAAAACAGGGCTGCTCTTATCTACTTTAAGACTTTGGATTTTGAAACCTATCATAAATTTTAGAATTTGGGTCTGGAATTTACATGGGTTTCTTACCTAATGCTGGTCTACGTCCAAATTACCTCTGCGCTCTTTTCGTAAAAAATTTAATGCTAAATGTATCTTGCTATCCAAGGGGGTGTTGATCATCAGCCCTGTTTACCGGAATTACTTTGGACTCTTGTTATGTGGGTTACGTGTATTTTATACAGCTTTAACTAAGTGGGATATCTACGGGGCGTTATTTTATTATTTTCTTCGCCATCACTAGTAGCTCTTCTCACACCGCTTACCGTCAAGTTCCAGTTTGTCGATGTTCTCTATGCTATATTTGGCAATTATATGATAGCGTTGACAAATGCTGTTATATCATAATGTCACGTGCCACGCCACGTCGTGTTATAGTGCGGAAAATATTACTAATGCGATACTTCATACATAATATTATGGAATCTTCCATTTGTCAGTGATCTGTTTTGCCAACCAGACATTATATTTTTCCGGGGTAAAATATAAATTCAACACAGTCAGCAGTTTTTTGAGTCATCCGAATATCTGATTCTACCTCAAGGCATTTCTCCTGATTAGTTTTGTGCTTTTGGATGGATACGCTCGGAATTCCGACGATTAGTTTGTATGCTGTCACGAAACATGAATTATCTTTTATAAGGATCCACTCTTCACTTTGCCTTTTAGGTACCAAACATGTTCGCGCTTGCAGTATCTTGATGAAATCGATTCTACACGAAGTGTTCGCTCACGTCAAACGTCTGCACTTTCAAAAGTTGTTGAAACAGGACTATTAAGTCGACGCTCTGGCTTTGAGTCCCAACGCTCCATTCCCAAAGCCACGCCTTTAACGATCCGAACTTCTAGCCTCAAGTTTCGTCGACCAATGCTGGCGCATTCTTCATCTTCCATCAATTCTTTCGCTGATGAAAACAAGTCTCATCAAGTTGTCACACTCCAAACACCCTTGTTGTCTGCTGAAGATCGGAGCTCTTCGGGAAGAAGCAACCAATGCTCTTCTTCTGATCTCTCCTCCATTCGTTCTTACAGTGTCATTTCAGTCCCTGTAACTAGCCATGACACTACGCGATCTTATCAGGATTCTCCTATTTTTGGGACCTCCTTTTCTAGCTCTGCTACGGGAGGAGTGGGTCGTATTGGTGAACTCCGGAACAGCAGATTTCCTAGTGCTGTTGGAAGAGCTAGGGGGACTGACGAAAATTTTCAAAGTCGAAGTGAAACTTCTGGGACTTCTAATCCATCACTTTCCACCGGCTTGATTTCATCTGTTGATACAGCTGAAGAAATCCATAAACTTCGACTTCAATTGTGAGTTGTCATGGATAAATGCTTCCTAGTTTAATTCAACATTATGCGTTTTCAAAATTGAGCATTAATTATGTATTACTATGGTGTTAGTCATCGGTACTTTATGTTCCCATCCATGTTGTAACCCGTGTCATCACAGAACCATGATTACACTCTTCGCTGGCCTCTTTACCATTGCTAATTATGCTTGGCGATTTTTTACATCCAGTTCTCTACCATAACTAAAATCTGGTTTTTGCGCTCAATAAGGTGACTTACATGTAAAAATGACCTGTAGACGATTGCTCAAATAAATTTCTTTAGTTGAGCAGAGCCAGCTCAAAATCGAGTTAAACTATTTCAGTGTTTTCATGACCCACATACTGAACATTAATTTGCGTCAGAATCATTTATGATAACTTAAAGCAAGGTTTTGTTTTTTGATGTACTTGCTAGTGCAATCTCAGAAGCCACCACATTTTTATTTCTTTTTCGTTTTTTAGTAAGATCAATTGTGCCCACTCGAGTTTGAGATACTATACAGTTACTTGAAATCCTTAGCAGCGTTTTCACCACTTGAGTGAACAACTGCGGTCGATTTGAAAATGATCTTATGAACTTTATATATTTTCTCCTTTCAAAGTCTGCATGATTCGCCTTTGGTGGATTTTATGACAATGCACTTCCCACTGTCACATGACCTTAGCTACAGCGAGCCGAGAGAAGCTTGAACACTCCGAGTTAACGCATTGATTCTTCCTTTCGTGGACAATTATTCTAGGGCACTTTTTTTCAAATGAATATAAGCGAGCGATTTAAGTATCCCTCTCTATCCTACTCGGGCATTCCAGTTGATAAGCTTGCGCATTTAGACAAGCGAACCCAGTCCCTAATATCCTAATGCTCAGAATGTTTTGAAAAATTATCACTAGTCCTTTAATTATGAGGTATTTCCATCATCTTCATATACGCAGAAAATAATGAACTCCAAGTATTTCTTCTGAAAGCCTAATCTACCGCAATGAGTAGTGTCCGCATGTCTAGGTCTATGCTAAGCATTATTTTCGGTATTTTCTGTTGATGTGTATTACGCCGATGCAATGAAGCTTTCGACCCACTCCTTTGCATGTCTTAATGCCCTACTTATTGTAATATATTTGAATTTCCCACAAAAATAGTTGTTTAAATACCATCTTTCTTACAAAAACTACAAATTAGCTTGAGCGCCCCCTTGCCATTGTTCAGATTCAGCAAGTACACCAGTTCTCTTAATCGCATTTGTAAATAAAATGCATGTAGGCAGCATGTGCTTGCCATAAAATATGGTATTTATTAAAAAATATGATTTCTTACTTATTTAGGCATTCGTTGTTAAATTTCCAGTTCTGAAGCTGAAAAACCAGATTTTAATCCTGCATTTTTGTGCTTAAGTAGCTAATGTATTAGAGTAGTTTGATTCCACTGTTTGTAACACAACTGAGCATCTAAACCTTATGCCGATTCGCGCAAATGCATCGAGGGACGTGATTAATCCCTACTGTTGCTTAGCAGTGCAATGAATTTCTAGGTGCTCTGAACTTCGTTCGTCTTGATGTAGGACCTGGTTCGATTTTTGTTTTGCAAGCAGACTGGCAATTTTCATCCATTTTCACTATCATTATGCACAGTGAGGTGCAAACAGGTTCCTTTCTTCTAAAAAATCCCTTTCCTGAGTGCTCAATAATGACGATCCCGAGCTGTCAAGGTAAAACAGACTGAAGTTATTGCAAATGTTCCTTTCTTTGGATTTTCTTATGAATACTAGACCCAAGTTATCTTATTGCATCGCCAAATGGCACTAGACTTCAAAGTAAAATGGGGAAATTGCAACATCCTGTTTCTTTTCTACCACCCAGGGTTTTTAAGTCAGGTTTGCAAATTTCTCACCAAAACTGGATAGCAGTTTTTGTATAATTATGAATTTATGGTGCCTGTACTATAATTTACGAATACGATGCGACTTGCATTACAATTATCGGGTCATTGTGCTTGACTATTTTTGCTTAACATTGCCGTTAAATTTGGATTCCTTCTTTGCTATTTTTAACTTGGTGACTTCAATTAGTCTGCAAATATGAATCATCTGCAGTTTTTCTACTCCTTGTAAAAATGCGGTTATTTGAGAGTTGGACTCACTGAGGAGATAGATCGTTTTTTACACCTTCTTCGGGATGATTTGTATCCAATTTATGCATGAAACCTAGTTTTTAGAACCAGTTATGTTTATATTTCCCGTACAGCAACTAATTTCGATTGCCGTGCATCATCAAGAACATGCTACTACCCACGTTTACTTCATAGCGGTACCATAACACATCCCCATACTTTTAAATATTTACAATTAATTTAAAATTTATTATTTTTGAGTATTGAAATTTATCCTCACTCCACTTTAATGGATGTTTCTGGGGCGGAATAAAGTTTTGTCGAACTCTGATTCGTTCAATCCCTTTACAAACTCATAATGTGTTCGTGAGAATAATTAGTTCTGCATTATTGCTATTTATTTGTTATTTATTTATATTATTTCAATCGTAGGTATCCGGTGATACAGGATAATGACGTTTGCTGATTAAAGTTTTGTGGTACTACCCACTCTTTGATTTGAAGCTTAACTGTTTGAAATAAGTGCTGCGTAATGCTGGCATGCAATATGCATCATCCGGGTTAACTAAGTTAAGACTACACCATTTTGACTGTTAATGCTAGTATCGTTTTAACCATATTCATTAAACGTGTTGTCTCTGATCATAATCCAATCGCTAGAAGTTGCATTGCGCGTAGGAATTTTAACTACCAGTTATTTGTATTCGTGAATATAACTTTTTCTAGATGTTTAAGCTATAGCTGATTTTCTTACTTAAGCGAGTGATGAACTATTGATAACTGATCTGCCTTTAATTATCAATAGGCCGTTTCACTTACTGGTGACAGGACACTTGATGATATCGAAACATATCTTGTTCTTCGATTTATTTAAAAAAGTGCATGGACTGCATATGGTGAATCGTCACACCAGTTCTGTATTTCTTTTACAAGGAAATAAAGGGGCACAGTTTACGTTAAACTCCTTTTGAAAAGGTATGAATGTTATCAAAAACCCACCACTTTTCCCGTAGATATATTTTTGTTCTTCGATGCATCGCCTACCCTTTCACAGTGCCTCTTCCACAGGATCCGGTTCGACGGTACTTAAAAGTCACTCGAGAATACTTGGGCGTCCTCCGGGAACGGTTCACTGTGCGTTCCATCTAATTGCTTTCCTTCTCTTATTTTGGAAATTAACTGTGATATGCTGATTGTAAAGCTATGTGTCTAATATTCAAAATCCATTTTGATGAAGTGTACAACTATATTCTTATCCATTTCCACTTTAAAATATAAGCAAGTATCTTTTTATAACAGTAGAACTTTCACTCTTTAAAATCATGATAGCATTGGGGTAAGTTTTCGCCCTTCGGACACTGATCAAGCAATTTATCTGGATAATTTGAAAAGTCTAGGATTACTGTTCCATTTGGGGAAGCTCTGCAGAAATATTACGATCTTCAAATTCGCATTTCCAAATTAAAGCGGAAGCTGTAACAACTTAACGGATTGATTTTTTCTTTTGAAAGTCTGTTATTCCTAATGTTTGACCACTTTGTCATAAAGAAATTAATGTGAACCCGTACCTATTTTTTTTTTCAACATAATGGCTCTAGCATCTGATTCGTTCAGGGTTTTAATGTCAACTGCCATCCCAATTTATATTGCACTAAATCTACCTAAGTAATCTATTATATTAATGGATAGTAGGTGGATTCCTCGATTCTTGATGGACGTATCTCATGGCCGTCAGTCCCAAATAAACTGCCAACGAAGCTGTCGCTTCTTAGAGTATTCTTTGTGCCTTCTTGTAAGAGCTTTGTAAAGGGGCCACAAAGTGCAGTTAACTTAATTCACTTGCTGTATTTCCTTGCTCATCTACAGAATATCCGGTGTAAGTTTGCAAGTGAAGTATTAGTACCCCTTTTAACGCACTTTGTGATAAAATTGCGCTGTCTTATTCATTTGCCCATTGATTCATAAATTCATTGGTACACTTTCTTTTGTATGGTTGGTTACACGACCCTGGGAGGTTTAGCTAGTCGAATTGGAGGCGCTCATTTTCCCCATAGTGGGTTTTGTGCCTCCACTTGATTTCTAAAATGCTAACTACTTGGAAATTCTGTAATCTGATGTCCAGCTATGGTTACAGCCGCACAGCTCCAAGGTTGCAAGTGGGGTTTTCCGTTTTTTATTTTTTGCTTTTATGCACTGCTTTATCTTTCCTAGGCCTTCTTAAACAAAGACCTGCGTATAGTTTGCGATGAGGCATTTTTTAACGCAGTGCACCATTTTGATGAAATTTACCTCAGGAATGAATTAGTTGAACGTGCGGTAATAGCTGGTGGTTTTTCAATGAACGACATTCGAGGAGTTTTCGCTAGGAGCATTGAACAGAGGGTGCGTTCGGTCTCAATTACTAATCATACTACCTTAGAATCTTGTAACTTAAGGTTTCTTAATGCATATATTATTGCTGATCCATATGGACTGTATGTCTATCAAAAATCGTGTTTCCTTTATTTTGCTTACTTATTACCGGAGCATATGGAAAGGGGTACTATGATCTAAAGTAGTTGCTTGCAGTTATCAGTGTCAGGAAGAGTTAATGGGCACGTACCTATATCCTGCTATCGCGGTGTCGATCGATTCTCCTGAAATGGTGTTTGTTAGGTTAGTGCAAGCATATTCCTGAGCTTTCCACGAACTTCAAGTGGAAGTTGTATGTAGTTCTAGAAAAGTGGGCCCATTAAAAGCTTTGTGGCACCTTTGCTAAATTTTAAAAAGTCGGTTGATAAAACTTTATTGTGCGTTTAGTTACAACGGTTTGAGGAAATTGATGGGCTACCAAAGCGAACTGTGATAGGTGCCTGGAAAGTGAAGTTTGACCAAATATGCCGCGGAGGAGAAGGACCCTGTCCCATTGCAAACCGCCTTGGTTCTCCTCAACTGGAATTGACCAATCCAACCAAAGAACAACTCTACGACCTATTTATGCGAATTCTTTTCATAAAGAAGTATGAGCACCAGATTCTCTACAATGCCTGTCAGGTATGACGTAGGATTTGCACTTCGAAGACTGTTCATTTGATTCTCCTATGCTTCACATACGTGATAAAAAATCAGTTTTTTATTTTAAATGTTTTAGGTATAAAGCTAGTGAATATTCGTCTTGAAAATAAAACAACTTGAGCATTACTTTGGATAGATGATCATGTGTGGAATTAACCCTGTCCCTTCATTTGCGCACTATTCTAGAGCAATGAGTGCGTTCGCTGAAGTATCGATGCGATGTACTTTTTCACGGAACAAATAAACTTCGGGGTCATTGTCTTCTATTTAATGTGTCCTCAAATTTACCTGCGCTTAAGGTTCGCGCTTTTAAGGGACTCAACTGGTAGTGACTTAGTATAAGCTCCCAATTCCTTTGCAAACTCCTCCATAAAGGATTTTTGCACACCAGTCTTTCTCAAAATCCCTCTAATTCCTCAGTCATATCTTCTTTTGTTTTCTCACAATATCGTATAGTAAATGCAAATTATGACCTCAGTCATTTCTTGTGATATCACTGATTTGTTTTAACATTTTAGTGAAATCGCATACTTTTAATCATTTTGCCTGATCGCACTGCAGTTTGAGGCATGCTTCCATCTGTGTGTTTTTATTTTCAATAAACCATGCTCCCTACTCACCAAGCATCAGATGGTGAGTGGGTTATAAGGCATAGGTGCTTGTCGGTTTACCACAACGTTGCTCTACCGTGCTCTTCATGGCTTCCTGTTATTTTGAACAATTTTTGATTGAACCTGGTGGATGCGATTCGAGCTTGTCTGCCTCACAGTTCTAGTTTAACTTGGTCCCGAAGCACTTGGTGAAGATGTGGTAGTGGAATGTACCACTCGGAAGTAGTTTGCGTTTGTTTGATTCCGGTGTTAGATTACTAATGGGCATATACAGCACATTCAGGAATGATGTCTATTTTTGGTAATGTAGAATTAAGTGCCATCATTGAGAATCTCTTTCGAGATGGCCCCGATAAGAACTTCTGGAAATGTTTCCTGAAGCAACTTATTTATACTTAGGTTGATTTGGAAAGTCGTGAAGGCTAGTGAGCAAATAAGTCCCACATTCATTAACACTAGAAAACAATAAGCTTCAAAGGCTATCAGTTTGTTCACCTTTTTACGTTAAAAACATCAATGCTAAATGTTTTTTGACTAGCCGACCGAAGTAACTTTTGAATTCTAGCGTTATGCGAACAAACATACCATTGGTTTTCTCCGAAGGATGCACAACTCCACACGTCTGAGACACGTATTACTTCATCTCCTCCCAGAAAACTACACTTGTTTTGTGTGTAGTTGACTGCAAGCAAAACGGTTCACTTGTTGAAAACCAAACAAATGTATCCGTGATTTATCAAATTGTTACAACTTGGAAGTACGCACGAGAAATTTCTTTAGAGGAGTTTGAGGGTAGCCCATAGGAAGAAAATTTTATCCTTACATGACAACTTAAGTCCTCATACTGCATTTACCACCATTTTCCCTTGATATTCCTCAAATTGATAATGACCACCTTTTCTTGACATCAGACAATCGTTTGCGACATAGAAAGTGTTGAAGTAAGGCGAACTAAAAATGGGGATGATTAGAGCTAGCCTTTTCACTTTTAGGCATTAAACGTTGTGTAAAAGTTAAATTCATAATGATGAACACTTAAACAATTTAATTATTTAAGAAGCTTCCAACAGTTATCTACTTTTTGTGATAAAAATAATTCGGACTTATTTGGTTATCTAACAAACAGTGAGCTTGTTCAATCTATTCCCTTATGCTAAATTATATTGAAACTCTTCCAAAAAATTGCTATTGTCCCCCATTAGTGCATCTCTAAGGAAACGGTTCTCACTGATTACTTAAATTTTCGGGGTTAAATTAATTAAGCTGTTTTCTTTGAAATTTGATTTGAGGTGTGCACTTTTTCTAGAATTTGCAAGAATAATGTTGACTTTTTACAGCTGGATAATATTGATGAGCAAGCAGCACAAGTTCGACGAGAGCTAGCCGATCGAAAAGGCTTTCTAGAAGAAATGGCGACTGTACGTTTTTGCTTTTTATCACATTGTTGGTGTATGAAGACTGATTTTCGTACTACAAGCTTTACTTTTTTGCCTTTAAAAATCATTGCCTTTCTAGTTTCGTTGGAATTTTGATTGGGATATGTGACACACAGGAGTTGGGGAATGATTATCTAAGCTTATCCAGTCGAATTGACCATTCAATTAGGAAGTTTATTCGCGATATCATGGCCTTAAATGAAATGCTTATGTGTTTCTGGTCACTAGGAAAAGAGAAAAGCACCAAAAAGGCAAAAAAGTTTAGTGAATAGCATTTTTGCTTTTATAGCAAGTTTTTGTACGTTCAGGTGTGTTTTAATTATAACTCTTACATAAAAGTGTGGAACACATGCACAAGACTTTATATGCCTAATCGGGTCAGCCTGTGGGACTGCTAAATGCCTTACATTTTGTTGACTCTTCTACTTTATAGAATCGTCGCTACCCCAAGATGGTACATAAGGAGATGGAAGTGCAGTACGTGGAGGAGCAGATTAACAATTTGAATCAGCTGATGCTGCAGTTGGACACAGTACCTGTGGGCAAGTCCCACGGCTATACTACTGGATCTGGGTCGGCTGTAGGTGTGGTGGTCCAGTTGCAGCGCCGACTTAAAAAGTACTCTGGCCACGCACAGCTGGCGCAGAACCCATTGTCTACAGTCGGAGTCCAGGGGTCACAGAACAGGGGCCTCGAGGACCGCAGGGGTGGTGCGGATGGGTTGTCGTCGGGTAGGCACACTTCCATTGTTGGTTGGGCTGCTAATGGGGGCCAGCAACAGCAGCAGCAACAACCACTGATGGAAGGAGGAAATGTACACTTGTTACCCTCCATCAATCATGTGGGTGGAAATATCTCCAAATTATCCATCCAGTTATCGTTCGGCCTTGAGGTGAGTCATTCGTTGAGAGAAGCGTTAATTATTGTTATTGCTGTTATTTAAAAAATACAGGTCTATCTTTTGATGGATGATGATTGAAGTAGCTCAAGTTCCATGAAGCATGTTTCAATAGTCATACTTCCGTTATTATCCTCCTAGATTTGTAGAACGATTTTAGGGTTCAATGGTATTGAATGCATCGGGGGCTATATGGTATTCGGATAGATATCTTTCAACGCTTTGGATTATTTGGAGCATCACTGAACAGATATCATTCAATGTTTAACTTCGGATAAGGTCTCCTTCCGTTTTGCTTTTGTTTTTTAAAACATTTGGGATATTCGAATACCTGTGCAACTATCACACTTTAAATGCTTTTGGAAGTATTTTCCAATCCCTTAAGTCTACGAAAGTTGAAAATTTGAATTCCTTAATTAAAAGGAAAGTGCAATTTTGCGTGATTGAATTTGGATATTCTCTTTGAACTGATGCTATCGAGTCGTAGTATGTTCTTTGTCTATTTTCTGTTACATTTACGTCCGAATTGTAAAATTAAGTTCTAACGTGGACTATTGTAAGGTATGTTGCAAGTGGGTTCAGATGTGGTATATCTGCATGCGATTTTTTAAAGGAAGTGTGATCAGCTATTCTCAAAATGTATCCTATTCTGCACAGATCCTAATTTGTCAACTTCGTCCGCTCAGGCACCTCTCTAGCAGCAAGCAGCTCTTTTGTACCATTGAGGTAGAGGGGTGCCCCGAGCGACAACGAACTGCTTTTGTCAAAGCCGCCAAACCCATGTGAGTCAAATTTCCACCTACATGCTTCACGTCCCTTTCAAATTGGTGCCTGGTTAGTCAAACTGCATTTTTGAATAAAAAGCTGCCGGAAGATATGTACAGATTGTTGAATTCCTTTTGTTTGCAGATGGGACACTCTTGCTGAATTTGAAACACCTCATCCGCTTCCTTGTGTAAAGATAAAACTAATGAAGGAAAGTACCAATCCACTCTCTCTAGATCACAAGGAACTCGGCCGCGTAAGCGCACTCTTCGTTTTCAAGCTCTGAGAGGTCGCAGTCTCCTTTCTATACCTCTTTTACCCTCGCCTGGATTGATAAGTTCTAATTAATGAATTTGCTCTATGCACAGACGCAGCCTGGATTTTTCTTAATTACTTATGATAAGTAGAGTTCATAAATATTGCCATAAATCTCGGGCTTTTCTCTTTAGATTATGCTTCTCTCAAACCCATCTACATCCCATCTTCCTACCTGGTACAGGCTGCAATCAACCAAGCGCTGCAACGACGTCATTGAAATGCAAGTTGCCGTAAGGCAAGAGTGTCCATCAAATCTGAAACACTGTGGTTTCTGCTGGGTTCAAGGCCGATCCACTTTCAAGAAGTGGAAAATTCGCTACATCTGCCTCATACAGGTACATCCTAAGGAAAATCTAATTGTGCCTATTTCGTAGTATTTTTTCAAAGTAATCGATTGCATTGTTTTCTTATGGAACCAATTTTTCGTCCCCATGGTAATATCCATCAAAGCATCAGCAAACTTATAGTGATAGTATGCTCTGTATTGAAATGTACCCTCACCAATTATGCGACTTCAGCTTTATCCATACCCAGTAATTTTGTTTTTCTTGCTATTTTATCCGATTTCTGGATCAGATCCTCTAATTTGGCTCTTCGCCATGGAGCTGAAACCTGAACCCACTCCTGCCACTTTATAAACATGATGTGTAGTCAAACTTCTTTGAAACATTTAGAAGGTAAATAGCTTCTGTAAGTAGCGGTGGTCCGCACTTTGGGTTTTTGAAGGGAAGTCATTCTTAAAATTGAAATTTGTTGTCTGGAAGGAGGGATAGGTATTATGTAAAATGGGACATTATCGTCTAAGTTTTTAGTAGATGTGCCAGTGTGGATTTTAGAGCATAGTACTTGTTCATTCAAACACTTTAGTTTTAGCTAAATAGGATTTTCATCATACTAAATAAGCGTTTTTTATCCCACAGGTATCTCAATATACTTTCATAATGGCTGCCTTTAAGGAGGCAAAAAGTGTCGCCTACGAAAGCATGGTTCTGGACGGGTACACTGTCGATTACTGTGAGACCAACCAAGGTATTTCACGTAGCTATTAATGCCATCAGCATACAATTTTTGCTTAAACCTCAATCATGAGTGTATAGATTCCGCTACCAAATAAAAATGAGTAGTTCTTCCTAAACCGGGATTGTATTTGTACATCATTTAGCGGCGAGCTTGTAGCTTTTCGGCAATTGAATTGTGATTATAGTAGAAGTGCAAATTTTATCCCTATTATTTTACTTCTGTTTCTACATTTTATGGTCTTGGAAGCTTTTTAGCTTCCCCAATTCATCCGCATTTGGGGGTGTTTTGTTATTTAGCCGGTAATCTCTCATTTCCCTTGTATGTACTCAGAATGGTGCTGAAAAATGAAGCCTAAAAATTATATTTTTTTCTGGAATAACGCATGTTAACTAGTGATAAGGCCTTCCTGAAGGTGCAGTGTTATTATTATCATGGCCTACTAAATTCTTATGAACGACTTGGATTATCACTTCTCCAACATGTTGAACTGATCTCTCAAGAGTTCCAACATAAAAAAACTGTTAGAATTGAGGGTTTGTCGCATACGAAATGCATTTACGCTTGTACGATGCATTCACAATTCTTACAACTTTTGCGTAATTCATGCCTTATTTATTCCTTCAACTACAAGGGCTCCAGCTATACTGTGACCACAATTTTTAATCCAGACCATATATCGGATGAACTTACGAGAAGATAGTTGTGTATACAAAGCAAAAATTTGAATGCTCATAAAGTTGTTTTGCAATGTTAAAACCATATTGAATAGCTGTCTTTATCGGAAAAATTGAAGCTCAAATACGTAGTGTATTGCTCAACGTGTGCCTTTGTTTCCTGGCTTCCGTCTTTATAACACAAGGGTCTAGATGATGCAGGTAATTGCATGTTAAATCGGCTGCATATTTATAAGCAGTAGAAATCCACGGTTCCTTACCAATTCAGAGGGACATGAATAATATGGTTGGGCGTTCTGATATCAGGTAGTTTTTGGTGCTTGAAGTGGAATGGATCAGCGTGACTTAGCTACTGCATGATGTGCTACTTTAGAACTGGTGTCAGCAGCCAAGGCAGAGCTAGCCACTGAGACTGGTGGTCTCTCCTCATCGATGCCTACGCTGAATAAAGTGAAGGGATCAGGCAGCTTTTCTAGCGCTTTTGGTGGCGCAAGTGGTTCAAAAAATTCCTCGGTGGCAATAGTGCCCACCTCGCGTGAGGTGGCTTCCTTCCAAGGCAGCGCAGAAAGCGGTGGTGGAGCGTTCGATAATCCACCTTTCAGCCATCGGATACCGCACTTCTTCTTCAATCTCGTGCGTGAAGGTGACACACTCACTTTTGCCGTATTTGAGGAGTCCGAACTTCATGCCTGGGTGCAAGCCATCCACCGAGCCACTGGCCAATCTCATAAACCCGTTCCGACCACATACGTCATCTCTAGGACGCATTTCAGAAGAGGTGGTAGGCCTTCCTTTGACATACCTGTGTAACCATTTAAACACAAACGGTTAAGTATACGTTTAAAACATGTCACGTATTTACCTTATCAATGCTCAAGTTTATTTTGCACGATCCATTTTTTGCATCCCATCTTTTCATGATACATAGTTATTCAATGCAAATGCTTCTCTACAAACATATTATTTGGATCGATGGACAAGTAAATTTTGCAGGAACAACAATTTTTTGTATACAATCTTGTTTATTTAGACTGCAACGGTGCGCATCTTGGCGTCAATGCGCTTGTCACAGCTAAGCCTCATAAAGCTGACCATCTGCCCTTGCTCAAGGAACTTCTTGTTCGGATGTTGGATTACCGCCTCAAGGTAATACCATTCTTCAGTACTAGATGGTTTAATCCCCAAATACCATTTCTTACGCATGGCTTTTCCAAAATGTGAGCATAGTACATGTTTGATTAGATGCATCCATCTGGCTCGTCCCAGAACCTTTAAGCCCCCATAAATTCCGCTCATGCGATTTAGATAATTACCTGTCCATGTGCTATTCTCTAATTTTATAATCTCGTAGACTGGTTTTGTTTTGCTCTTCATATTTGTGTATGATCAGAGCGAATTCTAGATAATGGTTAGATACCGCATCTGTTCAAATAAGCACTTACAGTTCAGCCTCTGTATGAATACTTGTTAATTTCGACCAACCTACGTAGTTTTGTCTGTCCTCGTGGTTGCAGGACCCCTTTGTTTCTCTGGGTTGGCTTAGTCCGTCACAAAGTCTCGTCCTGGATGAGTATTGTAATCGCTACAGCGTTCGAGAGTGTCAACGCCATCTCATCTTTCTCAATGAATTGCTCAACTTAGGAGAGCAGGATCTTATGATCGACATTGATTTGATCTTCCATTCATACATTCTCTGCGCTGACCACGTGCAAGGCAAAACGTCAGTCCCCAGTTTCAGTTTTTTGTGTCAATCATACTATGAGTTATTACCATCACTGGTTAGTACGATAACTTTATTCTGCTTCGTTATTGCTATTGTCGCGTCACATTATCCCTCAACTAAAAAGTAATTTTGTTTTAAATGACATAAGCGGACTTTATGCAATTACTTAGTTTCCAGTTTAAATGAAAATTACCTATGCCTTTTATCATGGGATCCTGTTGTAGATATCGTCTGAAATCCATTCCACTTTAATTTCACCCTCCCTCGCAATCCTGCACAATCGTGTTAAAAATATGTAAATATCACTTCCACCAAAGGGTTTTTCTGGATGTAATTTTTTTCATGATCGAGGGTAGTTTTTGTCGCCTACATTAATCAGGACCCCCTCGAAACAGAACGATCGAAAATAGATTTAATGCTTATATTTTCAAGTAAAAATTATTATATTTGTAAAGTGATTTAAAATTATGATGTCACTCTACTAGGGGAATTCTTGGTCTGTTTGCGTCGTAATAACTAGTTGATTTGTTGTATTTCTCATCGGTGGATTCAAACTATCGCCGTCATTACATTTGATATCATTTTAAATTAGCTGATGTAGACATTCTCAAATGTCGAGCTTGAAAAAACTGTTCGCTCTCCAATTTCAATGTGATAATCAGTTGAATGGGTCAGTTTCATGTGAATATTTTGGCTATCATCTAATCCATCGTCTTCTGTGTATGGTAGAAATTTTATTGATGAATACCTTACTATTTTCAGGCAGGAGAAAGGAATAAGTACGGTGCTTAATGCAGAAATGGAGGAATTCCAGAGGGTTCGAACACGATTGCTGGCATTTCTCGAGAAGCGATTGACGGGTTTCCGGTTCCACTTCCCCTTCAATCGACCGGATGGGGGGCTGGAAAAGTTATTATTACTTTTAGATCGAGTAATAATCCGTTTGGTAAAACCATTTATTTCTTTTCTATTTGCCATTCGCTGTCCTTTATTTTAAAAATGCTACTGACTTTAATTTGGAGCGCTTTTGGATCCATTGCCCCTGGTACTGATGTAGCACAGAGTTTGAGGGGTTGGGAGGATGCGTGGTTGCCCTCGTTTCTTTGTTTTGGTAAAGGGAACTTTGGTCAGACTTGATTTTTATATGTTGAAGATAATTTGTCTTCAGTCGGTAGTTTTGGATTAACGTATGTGATTGTTTGCTTACACACAAGGTCATTACCCATTCAAATGAAGGAATTACAACCACGGAGGCGGTGAGGTCTATGGTCCGCGTGTGTCTTCGTAATGCCGCCATCTTAAATTACGAAAAGATCTCAGAATTTGCACAAAACGAGGGTAAGAAAATCCTTTTTTGAATTTTGCCTGAAACTGTTTAAACACCTTACAAATGTCCATTTGCCTTTCCTTTTAGCCAAGCAAAATGTAAATCCTAGTGATGGTATGTCATTTTTAAATGAAACTGACATTTTGATGGTTTTCATGAAATGCATTGAAATAACTCTCCTTTCTCATGATACAGTAAAAGCGCAATTTTAAACGTTGTGATCAGTGCTGATCTACGTTAGGGTTTTGATATTTCCAATGTATTTACTTGGTGTTTGTCTGGAGAATGAATAAGTTAGGCGCCTAACAATCATCGAGTTTTATCTGCAACAAACATATGCGCCCTTGTTTGTGCTTTAGATATCTTTTTGCGACTTAGTCTAAATTTCTTATCACCAAGGATGAATGACACATCTTAAACGAAACTAAGCGTTTTAAAATACAAAGCGTTCCCATATTATAAAGGAAACTTTTCACTAAGTTTTACCTCTATTATTCAGCTTGCTCGTTCGGCTGAAGTAGTGATTCATCAGATTTTAGCATTACTTTACGATTTTTATCCCTACATTCATTTGTTGTACTAGTAGATTAGTTATTAGAAATGTTCTCGGTTCTTTTCGTTGACTTTCCGTTTTCACACTTTACTCACCCTTTTATCTGCGTTAGCTGGATTTCAGACGTACGAGAAACAATTGCACAATCTTCTTCGACTTGCCGAGATTTGTATAGATACACTTCAGCAAAATGACGATTATTTTGCGAAGGTAAGTTGCCCTTTTTCAAATATGATACACGGGCTTTTAAAAATTGAGCTTTTGAGTCGTGCAGGCTTAGTTGGTGTCATGCTCTTCGGGAGGATAGGGGGATTACCCGAAGTGTTTTCTCACCCAGCATACCTAATTCCAATTTAAATGATTTGTACCTTGTATTCTTTGCGTATTGAGATTTTTATCAAAATTCGTTCTTGGAATAGGTAGATGCGCAAATATTAAACTGGGATTTGTACTACGTTTACCATCCGTTTCTAACGAAATCAGTTATTTTTGCGTTTTTATTTGGGATAGATTATTCAACAAATTTCTAACAGAGTTTGTCGTTAATCCAATAATTACCTAGCAAGCATTTTTAGGGTATGTTTACAACCCAATCGCCCAGTATCGGTGTCGTATTGTATTCTGATCTGTTAGAACCCTGTCAACAATATTAATCTACGATGGCTTGTAATCGTTCGAATCTTTTAAATCATTCAATCATATAGTATGATGAATTGACCAAAATTTGTCAATCTATGTTATTGCTTACTCCTAAGTCTACTTGAGAGTGGACTGGTTCATTACGGCCAATCGCTAATTTTTGTGGTTAAGTCTCCCCAACATTGGCTTACGTCCGTAGTCATATTATTACAGATATATCCGTGCATAATCAAATACTTTTGATTTTCTTTCAGTCATTTATCTGGTACGATGATTTGTTTGTCGAACATTCCGAAAATTTCCTCTCGCTTTTTCAAATGGACATGACAGATGTGCTTGATAACTTGCCATCTGACAGTTGGGGCGTTTTTCAGATTTTTCAATTCCTCAATAGCTGTCTTCTTAATTCAGGTCAGTGGGAGTTTTTGCACCTTAAGTCGTGGTAAGGCTTTGAAATTTATGTTACTATATTCTGAAATCCAAGTTGTCGTTATTACATTTTCAAGCTTTTCTGTTAAACGAATGTCTTTGCTGCGTATAAACATTCGCATTTTCCCAAGCATTCAAGGGATGGTCACATGACATGTCTTGCCAAATACAATTCGAGAGTAAAATTATTTTATTTAATTTTTGCTTATTTTGTAATGCATGAATTTGTTTTCATGGAAAATCATGTCTTGCCCAAACCCTTATAAAATGGGCTTGAGACCAGTCATTCAGATCTGGTGATCCGGTGCTGCCACTTATTCACCCTGACTGTTAGATATTTAATCTGCAGTTATTCGCATGGAGCATTGTAAAAGGAGATTTACTGGTTTGATTTAGAAACCCTCACCAATGGGCCATTCCATTCTGCTCTTTTGGATCGTTTTGCGCCTATAGTTGAGAGATACCTCAGTCTTATGGAGACTTCTATCACAAAATTCATGGTTAACGGAATCGAGAAAGAATCGTGGATTCCAATGTCAGACGAAGGAACTCAGAACGGTGAGCCTTTTGTACTTATCCCATTATCTGTTTGCTTTTTTGGCATTTTACAGGATTGTTGTGGTCACTACTTTTGTGAAGCAACATAGAGTTCATTAATAGTCACTAACGTTTATCGACCCTCAAATACAATTAAACACTTATTCAAATTGACAATGTACCAACATTTGTCTCCGCGCCGTTTTCAGTTCTCGACGCATCGTTTGACGCTTAATTCTATTTTTACGTTGAAAATCATAGAAGCGTTTCTTCTGCAGATTCTTAGCCCAAATAGCCAAAATACTTTAAATGAAGGCTATAATTTACCTTACTTCGAAACATGAACATAACAAAGAAGAGTATTGATAGTACCCAGGTTCGCATCTGAAGGGTGTCAGTGGCATACTTTTGCTTATTATTACTTCCGCATTCTTATTAGTCTATCGCAGAAATTTGTAGATGATGTAATAACTTCTACATTTATGCTGCTGCGTCGACACATGGTATTGCTATCTACATGGCCCCGCATACTAAAGATGGACTCAAGTTAAGGCTTTTAAAGAGCGCGTATGTTGTCTGTAGGACAGTATGGATAGAACGTGATTGCTTTGAAATTTGACAAATAAAAGTCCTGTTTTTCCTATCTCAAAACATTATTTTGTTCCATATTTCTTCTCTACTTTCATTTCGTAAAGCTGTACTTTGGTAGTTAAGATAACTAAATCTTCTTACATTACCTTGAATACTTCTCAAAGGATGTCATTTTGTTTTTTTATTTTGTTCAAGTTGCATCAAGAGGTGACCTTAATGTGGGCTCTTCCGTTAGTTCACAAGCACACCCCGACACCGACAACGAGAGCTATCGCTCGCTAAACATGAGGAAGCAAAACCGATCGCTACACCAAACACTGACCGGCGATAGTACCGAGGGGATTGAGAGCTCCTCCTCCCCTGCCTACAGTGGTCTCAATCCAAGCTCCGATAGACAAGTCCTCATCTCCAAGACCTCCACTGTCGGTCCGACGAGCGCTTTTCTCGACGTACTCTCCCGCAGCCGTCCTTTGGCCTTTGTCTCTCGTGTCATGAATCCTAGCGCATCCGCGCGATCGTCAGTTATGAACATGGGTCGGCAGTCCATCGCGCTTATCACACCAATCCCAACAACCTCGACCAATGACGATGGTGACCTAGCCGCCGAGGGTGAACGGCTGGAGCATTCCGATTTGGCCGCAGAGTTGATTTGTGCTCGGTGTTGTCGCACTGTTGGGACGCTGATATTCAGGCTTCACGTTCTCAAGGATTTCATTGCTGATCTTGGATGGCCAGAGCGTGTTAAAGCTGCGGGTTGGGCTGAAAAAACCAGGAAAATGTGCTCGAGCCTTCTTCGAGAGGCCGCCAAGAGGTCTCTTTAAATCGCATTTTACTGTTATTTCTCTGAAAAGTCTATCCTTTATCCAAATTTTACTTCTTTTTACTCTTACAGAACTTTAATTGAACTGGACTCAAACCTTCGCCAGTCATACAAGTCGACGGAATTCGTTGTGCCACTGGAGTGCCTTACTATGATTAACACAATTACAGCCATTCGAATGCAACTCTTTCCTCTATGTCATCAGCACGAGTCTGAAGTCGCAGGTGATGCTCCACAGGGAAGTAGATCAGACAGCCCTGGCGACATCTCCATTTCACACCCAACCTCGGTAGGAACTGGGCGTTTACAGGCAAAATCCAGCTTTGGTTAATTGATAATTTTTTATATTTGAAATATTTTGAAATTTATTTGCAGTTTAGTAGGTGATCTAGGTTTTCTTGGGCTTAATAGTAGCTTCTCCGAAAGATGAGTCTAAGTTCATGGACTTAAGAGGTGTCCTCTTTTTAACTTCTTTTCGATAAATCATAGACTATTTTGATTTGTTTCAGTTTGCTGTCTATCAGTATCCCAACGTTCTTTGTTTTTTATATTAGTTAAGTTTTTTCATTGGAGTATTTTTCGTGGCATATTTCCCATATTTTTAATATTTAAGCACTTCCGTCTGGGAAGCACAGAATCAGCTTGTGGCTGCTTTTCCTCATAGGTGGCTGTGCAACATAAATGTTAAAATTGGAATACGCTTGAGACCACTGGAACCTTTAAATCCTGTCCCCATATAAACAGCCTCTTAAACATGCTTTGCTTGGGTCCCTCTTTTGCCAAATTAAAATTGTATTTTTTGATCTAGGTGCGGATGTACACGGAGACGGAAGCATTTTTGGAAGGCGTTCATAGGCAAATGAGCGTTATTCTCACGGACCACCTGACCTTCGTTTTGTCTACCGTACTCAACAGACTGGCTAGATACGACGAGGGCAATCTAATCTCCTCTATTCTTACACTGGCAGTTAGTCGTTCTCGGTTTTTAATGTTTTCATCCGTTTGTGTGCGTTGTTATATTTTTTCGTAAAACACTACATATTGTTTTGATATACTTTCTGCACGCAATTCTTCTCGGATCTAGCCTTTTCTGAATCGCCTTATTTCCATTTTGTAATTCAGATCAAATTTAAAATAAATTCGACTTAAGGATGTCGTTGCCCATCCTTCGTTAAGGAGAGACCTTTCCGTCGATGAAATAGATTTGAACAAAAACTAACTTTGCATATACTTCCTCATATTGGTACACACTTTTAATCAGAAGTCTTTTGTTTATTTACATCCTTTATCAGAAACCTGTGGATGAAGATGGCCGGAATTACACACATTTTATAAGTAGCAATCTTCAAATTCTGTGCCAGAACCTCGTTGATGACGTCTATTTGCTCTCAATATTTGAGGTGAGCTTTTAAACACTAGCAATGTAATTTCCCTCGTTAGAACTGGTACACGAGCCAGATACGCCTGATCCATGAGTGGCTCATGCAAAGACGCAATAACGTTTTGCATCCCTACCAAATAAAATGCCTTGCGACAATTGTGAGGGTAAGTTTGTTTGGGAATATCATCAAACTAATACCTTCGTAGAAGGCATTTTCCGACTTTGAGCTTCAGGGTGTGGCTACTCATGTCTTGGAAAACACGACCTACAAAAACGTGTGCCACCGGCTTCAGGTAATGTTAATATTTGTTACTTATTTAATCCCATCGTTATCTTAATAACTGATGACCATAGTTCATTTTACTGTCAATTAATTGTGCCAATTGATGAGCAAGAATCCAGATGATGTAAGGAATACCCTACGTGGTGATTATTTCCGATGGTTTTTTTTGAACAAAATTATTTACGCTTTTGATTTACTGCGCATCTTCAAATCACGAAAGCTTGTTTTTCTCGATTGACTCGTTCTGTTGTGTCAATACTTTCGACATTTCTGAAACCACATTTTTTAGAGCACTTCAAAATCACTCACCTAGAAAAGTAGGACCATGTTTTTTCACTGCCTACTTATGGAACTCAAGATTACGATTGTGAAAACCTGATTTACCTGGACTGTATGCAGAAAAGGTAAAAACTGATAGGATCAAAAAGGTTATTTTACCCAATGGTATTTCATTTTTTACGGTTCCCAGTTTATTTGAACACCTTTTTTCGTAATTAGTCGTACATTTGCTTCTCGATTGTGTCACTCTTCCACTGTGTATTTCTGTCCGGTCCAAGAGGTTCTACTTTGCTGGTTTAAGTGTTAGCATTTGCAGTACAATTAGATTGTACCGTGTGAAAGTGCCTTCTTCTTCCCTCCCCCATTTTTTGCATAACTTGTCCAGAAGGAGTTTTTAAGCCTAAATTTTATTTAAGATTGCAGCCTTTATGTTGTTTTCAAGACCAGAAGTCGCATTCATTTTTCTAAGGATGTTATTGGACCGAGTCACCTATTGTCATAGACTGATATTTATGTGCGGAAGTAGCTTGGATCCTATCAAGGCCCCAACTGGGTAATCCATGGATAAGACTTCGTTCCAGATGCCTTTATTATCGACATTATTGGCGGGCAAGGTGGGTATGTTTAAGGCGTACGGGTCTGGCGGCTAGAGAACGGAGACCGCATGCATGTAAGTTTGCGTGTCGGCGGTTTCAGGCACGTGTAATTGTAGTAACTGATTCACCTTGACCTTCGAGCGGTCATCATGAAGCTTAGAACACATCTTTGCTTTATGTAGGCCAATCAGGAAAGAGTGGGTGAAGCACGACTCTAAAAGGTTCTGAGACTAGGGATCAAATGGAAATTCTAAAAAATCGAAAAGGAGTGTTTTTGTGAGATTGCAGACATCCTCAACAAAGGATGATGTCTGCAGTTAATGCCCTCAATTCACTGGTTTTTTGAGATATGTAAGTGAATTTTGGCACTGGAAGAACAATAGGAAATTGAGCATTCAGTGTTGGGCATTTCGCAAACCCAACCCCAAATTCACCTTTGCCGTGCTCTTTAAAACTAGGCGAAATCCAAAGCTATTTGACTCATTAAGAACATCGAGTTCAAATTGCTCCTCCGGTGGTTAAGATTGAACCACCGTTCCTTTTGGTGTCTTGTAGGTTGAGGAGGCAACGTTGTCGGTCTCATCCAGCACGCATGACCGATCTCATTCGTCGGCACAATCGTCCACAGCGGTTGGCCGTCAAAATTTGATTAGAGCGATTGGTGATGGGCTGAGCACTCTTGCACAGGGCGCAGGTCTTAGACATCGCCAAACCTAAAAGCACATCCAACCATACCCCAGTCTTTCATTAATTTGTTTACTGCTCGCAACGCATCTCTATTGTCCTTCTCTTGCTCTTGTTATTATTGCTACCACTATCATTATTGCTGCTATGATTCAAGGGTAGAGTCGAACCCATCCCTGTTATAATTTGTCACCCTAGATGCCCTTTGTTCCCCGTTCATACGCGCTTAAGAGCATTCTTGAACTGCTGTGCCTATAAGGCACAAAATTGCAATCAACACCAGCCGTCGAAGCGGCTTTTTATCTGGATCTCCTGGGCATCTTCAATTTGTGGTAACTTTTTCTACCTGCTGGCTTCCACGTACTAGTCCTTATGTGGGCACAAATGTCCATGCCTCTCAAATTATCTCACTGATGGGTCGTTAATAGTGTATTTACGTATGGATTGTTCTTACGTCAAAATATACGTAAGTTATTTCAGATCATCCTTCTCAACTTTACGAATGGGGTACTTTCTGCTTGAAAACGTGAACACAGCTTAACTCCAATTGATTGGTGCACCGAAAGATGGGAACCTTGATTTTGTGGCTTATTGACAGGGTCACGATCGTTGTGTTCTTGTCAGCCTTTGTGTGCGTTGGCTTGAGTAACATTAATACTCATTGAGCATTATTTGGTTTGACCATCTCGAAAACTAGGTAAATCGTGACATAATTGGGACGGATAAGTCAGCCGTGGCATGCCGACAATGTTCTACAGGAGAGAGGTCAGAGCCACTGTCGGCATGATATGGAGACGCTTTGAATACAGACGGTTGTGGCCAAGTACGGGTCACCTGCTGACCAAGGGTAATTCGATTTGGTGGCACTACGCATGGATATCCTCGACCTCCGCTTGAAGCTTATTCACGGCAAATCGTGTATGCATGATCATGCGGTACCTTATTCTTAGTTGTAGACACAGTGTTGCAATAATCACATTTTCCGCAACTGACCTATTCATGTCCTCGGTGAAACTCTTACGGAATCTTCTGATAAAGGAGTTACGAATGACGTTAAATGCGTGTATCTCACCAGAAATATTAACACATGGGGGCAACGGCTAGTGTGCACATTCGCAATAAATTTGGAAGTGAAGCCATGCAGGTTATAGTGTTTTCAGAGAGAATACGAAAACATAAACTCAGTTCAAAGTTTTCTTCCTTGTTACAAATCAAACTTAAACAAGGAATATTCCCAAATTAAGTGGACAATGTTACTAAAAATAAAAGAACAAAACTCCTCGGAATGCTGCAAAATAAATACATGCTAAAGAAGTAATGCGAAATACAGCCTGCATAAACAAGGGGCCAAAGTTATGACATAGTATGAAAAACATCCATATGAAAATTTATAACAAAATGCAAAGCAAATTTACATCAAAACTACAAAAACTTGCGTATTCAGAGTACTTACAACCAACACATACAAACTTATAAAAAATGATCCTATTGAGAAATGGAAGAGATGTCTACAAATATGAACGAAATTATAAACGGATAACATATTTCGCATGCATGCGGATGCTAACGGGTAGCATAAAATAACATTTGTGTTCGCCTCTGAATCTGTGACGATGAATGTGCCTGATATTTTTTGATGGAACAACAGATAAACTATAAATCAAATGATACTGGGGATGTACAATTGTAGCTTATCCTTCGTTCTAAGTGAATTACAGGTAATATTCTTAAAGTACTTTCGAAAACCAGTTCATCTAATAGAATCTCCACTACAACATTAAGTAAAAACACATCTGCATCCACTATGCATTATGGCACAAACTACTTAAGCACAAACAATTATGTAACAAAAATAGGCAGCAGATAACGGGGTTTTTTGTTTTGTTTTTTCAAATTTGTTTTACCCGCTCAGTTCAAAAGCGGTTGTTGCGTGGTCGTGAATCCCTGAAGTACCGCACAACTATGTCTCTGGAAGATTTTTTCAATAAGAAAAGTAAGAAGAAGACCAAGAAGACAATCAATGCACAGGAGCTTTTTGAGCAAATTACTGATGGGCCTCTTCGACAAAAGTCTGACCTGGAGAAAAATGCGGATGAGATGGTCGTTGCAAACTCTGAGGACGTTGGTGAATGGGAGCCCATTGTCAACGATGATATTGAGCTAGATTTTTCAAACATCCGTATCAATGACTTGGCGACGGTAAAAGTGGAGGAGGAGCAAGCTGCCGCGAACAATGTTAACCCTACTAGCAAATCGGATGATTCTAAGGTCGTTTGGGGAGGGAAGTTTAGAAAAGGTGAAAATCTTATTAATTACATGGAATTTTAAAAATATTTTTAGTTATTTGCTTGCTCGCTGTTCTGTGCATGTAGTTGCTGACTATTCGTGACCTCTATATCTTCAGAGGAACCTGAAAAAGTTGAAGAAAAGGCAACAAAATCTGGTGTATATGTGCCTCTTCCTCTACGGTCTGGTGGATCAAGTGCACATGCCCTACCTAATTTGGAGAGTGTGGAGGAGTTTCCAACTCTCGACGCCGCAGCTCAGGAAAAATCAAAAAAGAATATTTTGATTGAGGTTCCTGACAATTCATGGGTTGAAGTGAGCAGGAGTACCGTGTCTCGTCGTAGAGATGGCCCCACATTTTTTGGTACTTTCAATGCTTCTTCGAACTCTTATCGAGATAATACGCCGTCAAATAAGTATTCATCATCTGGATTCCGTGATAATTACTCATCTCGTGTTGGCGGTTCGCTATCGCCGGGTGTTTGGGCTCGTGGTGAGGCTCTTAAGAATAGGCCAGCTAATTCTGCTGATCCCTCAATTTCGTCAAAATCGAGTTCATGGGAACGCAAAAATACGTCTAAGTAAGTGAACTGCTTTAGGCGTGACCAACGCCACACCAGGCTAAAATTTTGTTGAAAAACCCTTTCTCATCTCCACATTCTTTGTACTGATTTTATTGTGGTTAATTGATTTTAGTTCAGGGACCCCCAAACCTTATGTCATTCCTCAGCAAAGAAATATCCTGTCCTTCTCTCAAGAAAACCGTTTTGCTCAGCTGGACAACTCGTGACCAAATCTCACCACTTTGATTGCGGAGCGGTTATCTTTTTTTGTGTATGGTGGACAATTGCGTTAGTGATTTGTACATTTATGTCTGCGATATATCTATACCGGTAGCACTCACTGATCACTCATGCTCTCGCTCCCACCGATTTTTTTGTCAAATCTTTTGAGTGCGCGTCTACGAAAGATGTTACTGTTGGTGCAAAACCCAGTTTTGATGTGAATTCTAAACTGGCTAAGCCTTTCACCGCACTAACAATCTGTCTCCCCTCATTCAATAAAAGTCTTTTGGGGTCAAATACGGGTGCGCCCCAATGGCTTTTTCAGGTGAATAGTGCTTTTAAGGTGATTGGTGGTACTTTCTCCTGAGCTGTTCATATTTGTAGGTCTGTGTATTGATCTGTTGGATCCCGGTGAGCATAATGAGAAGTTAAAGTGGCGTACAAGTGCGACAAGACAGTCGCTCAGGGTTTTTGCGCAACATTTAGTTCAGGAAAAACCCGGGCTGGGTTGCGGCATCCAGCAGCTTCTCCTTCAATTGTACCGCTGTGTCGTATTCGGGTAGTTTTAGGTAGTGCATGCAGGTGTTTACACTGGGGTATGGTCCGGAGGTGCCCGCATCCTTTTTCGCTACCTGAAATCAAGACACTTTTTTAGGACTTCTGTGCTTCATTTTGCCGCGTGAAGGTTAATTCTGACCTTTATTTTGGGGTGAAGATTTCTGAATCCTCCTGGTGGAAGATTAGGTGAACCAGTTACAAATTTTACAAAGCACTTTCTTTCGAGTCCTGTGAAGTCTAACAGAACGTCCAGAAGCATCAAGTAGGTTGGTGACTGTCGTGTGTAGCCGGCCACAGGTTCAAATGCGGCTAACATTTCTTCATAAGTCCATTTATTTGGTGACATATCTCCTGATATTAGCTGACTTAATTCGTCGGGAGTAAAGATGGCTAACGTTTCCAGCGGAAAAACCAGATTGAACCCGTCTGAAACGTAGAAAACACCGATCACTGATAAATTATGAATACGAGAAATGAGTTTCGGTCTGGAGTGTCTTCGTGAAATAGCATCTTGTTTGGATGCTAATCAGAATAATGATTACACAAGTGAATGTTTGACGCATCGATAAATATCCATAATGAAGAGAATTCATACCTCTTAAAGCCTTTATTTGCTTTTCGATGCCTTTATTCATTGCAAAATCGATCGATCTTTTGATGTAAATTTCCAGATTTTCATAGTCTATCACTTTTGCTTCCTCAATATGCTGTTGTGGTTGGATGCGAGATTCAGGGTTATCCCAATCATATCTATCCTCCAGTCTAAATGAACTTTGGCCAAACTTCTAAATAACGGAAACACTGAAAACATGAATCCCATACTCCTCTAATCTACTTAACTCGATGCATCGGAATGCAAGCTCGTGCCCAGCAAGGTTACTTTTAAAAGTACAAGCAAGCCAAGTTTATTCACGGGACACGTATCTTAAGGATAATTCATCGTGATTCGGGCGTGGGCTTCCTACTGTATGTAGTCATTCAGGCGCTTAAACGGTTGGTTTGAACTTCGCAGCTATTAGTCGTAATACAAGTAACTTCAGAAGACCAGCTTGCTAGTGCTGATGAAATTATTATAATATGGCATTCCGGGTCATCCCTGAAGACGGACTAGCGTACACTAGTGCCGGGGGGCCAATTGTTTGTGAACGGATGTGCTTTGGAGCGAACGGAAAGTAGTCACTAAGACGTTCATCGAAAATAATGAAGTCGAAGAGCCCGCGTAGTTAATATAATTATGGAAGCAAGTGAGATTTCATCGCAACAGCTTGGCTGTACCATGTATGAAACTAACGATATAGGGATAGTAAACTTGTCACAACAGCAAAACTCCGATTACAGTGGAGTTGCCTAAATAGATCAGCTAAGACGTTAGCGGCTGATAAGTATCAGTCCACACCTATTGCTATGCCATGTGTGAATGCTTACAATGATGAAATAATTTGCTAAAGTGATGAGTTAAAAAAAGACTGGCAGAATTTACCGTGGTGATTGAGGGGAACTCCATAGTAAGACAAAGATCGGATAGTTTCGAAGAAAAGTACTTCACTTCGAGCTGTTCACGATCCTCAGGGGTGGATGCAGTTGTCTTTGCGCAATTTAAATATTTAAGGCATAGCAAAAAGAATTTGCCTTGTTCTGGATAAATTTCCATAAAATCCTCCAACCTTCGGGCTAAATCACTCGTTTCGGTTTTTCCATGGTCCATTAGCAGTTTCAAAAAACTCGTCGAAAAATGAAGATCCATTCGACGTTGATCCTTGGTGTAAAATTTGTGAATTTTAGCTCTGGTATCAAATATTGCACTTTGCAAAGAACGGTATGAACTAGGGGAAATACCTTCAACGACTTTACTGCATTTACTCAGGACTTATTACCTCTTGTATTTCGATTTCACTTGATAATAACCACTCAAAAAGGGGTCATTAGTGCAGAACAGCTCATGCATACATTTTAAACAGTCTGTACTTCGGTCAGAGTTTATCTAACGGTCGACCAAAATGGGAGTCATGATAGTGGTCCAATGAATATTCACAAGGATGATGATAATTTTTTCAAAGTAATTGCAACGATTTTTTAGTACTTAAAGGCCTACCAGTTTTGTTTACCTGGAGCAAAATATGTAATAAGCTTTCCGAATTGAATTAACAAGGTAAGAAGAGCGCTCTATCTACTGAGAATATGTTTTGCGATAGAAATAAACTGTACATTTAGAGTTGGAAAATTACACTAGTTATTTGGTTGAAGTGTGACTCCTGATGGTGTAAGGCGGAGGCCTCGAAGCAATTTTTGAACTGGAACACCTTCTCCCTTCTGATACAAAAGACGTCCTTTGCGCTTGGGAAAAACGGCTTGACTTTGAATAGTATTTTATGAAAGCAACTCATGTTTTGGTAACGGAAATAGTACGTGCCGGAGTCTAATACCCAAATCTAAAGGAAATTAATTGAATATTTCGAGTCCATACCAGCGGTGCAAAGTCTCTAAAATTTGCGTTGATATTGAAATGTTTGACTGACCAAGTAAGAAACTGGATGAAAGGGTGTAGTGAAAAAAAAGTGGCCAAAAATGTACCCTCCTAGGCGTACGTGAAGGGTTCACCTACCTGAAGGCACTTGGCGAGGGCGATGCCGAGGACGCGGAAGCGCTCTTCCGCTCCTTGCGGCAGCGCGTTTGCTGGCCACGCAGCTGGAAAGAGGCCATTTCTCGGGTGTACATATATTACCTTCTCGGACCCACTCACTCGCCAGCCCTTTTCTAATTCGCCCTTTTCAGCCGCAATTTTCACATGCTCTCCAAAACCTTTCTCAGTACTAGCGTAATCTGCCACCCATATACAATGTGATTTCCGCCTAGAAAAAAGGTAACACAAAAAGTGGCTATCGTCATACTATGCTAGGGAGAAAGTGCTTTTGAATAATACCTTAACCGGGCACTGTATTTAAGACTACGAAGATTTAACGGTTTAGTTACATTTTGCAGGATTTTTTCTAGTGAAAAACGGAAATTGCCGACACCTGTTCCTCACCTGGAAGAGCTTGTGCATTTTTTTCCTGGTCGGTTATATTTGAACAACTAAATGGTCTTAACTTAGTCGAAAGAAGCATTTATAGTTCGTCCATCCACCTCCTAAGTCGCAGTTTCGACTTAGGGGTCGCTAGTTTTGTAGTATATTTTGCCCGTACTTAGGACTCGTCATACTATCTCGAACTCCTTTTGGGCCCTACAAAGCGACTACTTTACGCTTAACCTAAAAATAAAAAAACGTCTTAAACGAACCTGTTGGAATGTTTTACAAATGACTCAACTATGGGTTGCGATGAAACATGCAATCAAATAATAGTAACGCAACAGTCTGCATTACAATGAATAGTTTGTGAAATAAGACGAGATGCCAGATAAATACACTAGCAAAGTTGAAATTTAACAGTCCTATTAAATTGCAGCGGCCTTGTGAATAGTGGCAATCTTTTAATTTACAAAATTTTCTTGAAAGACACCCCTGACGATTGTACACAATTAGAGAATCAACCGGATTCGTTTAAAGGTATCTTGCACATTTTGCAACATTAGTCTGCGCTCTTAAAACAGACTCTGAGGCCAAATGCTGGATACTGGCAGTTTACCAATCACTTTCTATGAGATTCATCACGACTTGACTCTACACTTCTAGACACTTTTAACGATTGTTCACCGGTTTGGTTAACTGCCGCTACAGCAATTTATGATACAATTTTCTAAATACCGAGTTAATTTTAGGTTAGGATAATTCACAACTTCTGATAAATCCGTTTGAAACATTATGAATAAATTTACTTGCTTCTCAGAGAAGCTCCAGAGCTTTTCCATTCACAATAGTAAAGTTTTAAATGAAATTCAAAGTGCTGTGAAACAGAAAAGTTCGGTTCAACAATGAGCTCTAACTTTCAACACATTGAGTATTCAATATGCACGTATGTATGAATGCATATATCAAGTCACTACGATTAATGGTAATGAAAAATCCAGCATCCAAGGCTATGATAACTACAGAAAAATGTGGAAACTTGCATCAACTCAGCAGAAATTAACGCATAAAACTCCATAGTAGGTCCCAACCCGGTGCCCTCCTCATTCTCGAAGCCAACTTCCAGCTCCTGCTTTCTCGTAGCGTGTGCAATGAGAAGCCGCACTGCGGCAGGCCAAAAACTACATTGACCATCCTCCTCCATGTCTGACGGTCGAGGGACGCTCGCCACCTCGCGCTGCAGGCGACCCAACAAGTTGAGACCGTTGGCCTGAGTGTAGGAAGGCGGGGAGCTTGATGTGCTAGTCACAGTACTGGTGTCAAATCCCAGCGGAGGCGTCTGTGGATGGGGCAAACGGTTGAGTGACTCTAAAGTACAAAGCAATAAAATACGGTATTAGAATTTAACTAATCCTCCTTTTCCAGTTATCAAGTAGAATTGCAATGTCCTACTCCCATAAAAAACATTGAACTCAACAATAACTACCTCGAAATTCTATAATAGCGCCTAAGAGAGCCGATGCCTTCCAATATTTTTCGGTAAAATTCCACATAAAATTATGATTTTTAACTATGGAGTTTTTAAAACAGTTTAAAGACTTACAAATTATTCTATAACATAGAAGACAGCTAAAACAGAGAATTTAGCCTTGCATTAGACACAACTTTTGTTGCAAAACAAAAGCTTTTATCCAAAAAAACCAACCGAGTTGAATCATTAAAGACATTGGAAGTGGAACCAGAAACAGTGCATCATGACGCATCCTCTACCAGGTTCATGAATACCTTCAAAACGGTCAGAAAACCTCACATTCCAAATAAAATATGCTACTATTGTTACCACGGACTACTTCTGTTTTTCTGACCTATATGCAGACATGCTTTTTTGCACAAGTTAATATTTGAATAATGTGATTCTGTGCTAGAAGAAGTTTAAGCTAACCAGCGTATTATTAGTTCTATGAAATCTCGCGATGAACGAATCATGTGTATGCGCTGTACCTAGTTCGCGAGTAATTAATAACATATGATCTGATCGGCCATCCATTTGAGCACATTACTCAAGGAAAATATATGTTTAACAAAACAAGAGGTAATTCATTTTCATTCCACAAAACGAATGTTATAACAGACGCAAAAAATCTGAATTTTATTTGCATAAGGTTACGCATAAAATTTTTAATTTAGATAAATGCCCCGAATGGAGGCTTTTTACTATGATTGAATAAACAAGTTTGTCGTAGAAACCGAGTTTTGGTGTTCGCCCAACTTGGTTAAATACTTATAAATTAAAAATTACCTATATTATCTGCTACTGGGGTACTGCCATCCTCAATCCAATCGTCTGTACAAGTGAGATCCTTGTCAGATTCTTTCGTAAAGTTGAGAAGTATTGATGGTCCCCACAGATAACTGAAGTCGGAAGCTGAAATCCGAAGCTTCAGGATGGTAGCAGAATTTGATTCGACGTCAGCACTTTGAGAATATGCACCCAGAATCGCGTGAGCACCACCAATACCACCGAAAACAGACAACTGACCTCCAGTTTGTCTTTGTTGCTGCTGCTGAAGCCAGGTAATCGACCTGTGAATGAGAAATGCTACACAATGCATTGATGTAGGAGATTGTACTGCTGTTATCAGCTTAAGTTATGCTTAAGCAGTTTGCGATTCTTTTCGTTCAGTGCCAGCTATAGCATTGTACCGCTATGATTTTTTCTTAAAAATAGGAAAATATCATAGGGGAATCCTCATTTAATTTTACATGCATCCTTTCCATATAAAGTTCCAATTCAATCTCTTAGCACGATTCAGACCCATACCAACGAGACTCATTTGCAAATGATAAGGTCTGATAAAAAGAAGTGTTAGTGGTAAAATGCTACATTAAATTCCTAAAAAAGTACGAAGTTTCTACAAGGGAGAAACTTAGTTTTAAAAGGCAAATTGGATACTCACGAAAACTCGTAAGTAAAAATTACCTGCCAAGTCCCAAGCTCGTAACTTGCCAGAAGTCGACTCGTATGGAGAAAGGAAATAGAAAATGATATTTCTGCATTAGCATTCTGCACCAGGTGATCATATCAATGCTATTTTTATCTATTTCGTCTGAAATCTTTGTCGAAACGGGATTTCCTGCCGCTTGAATAATGGACCATGGATTATCCATAAATGTTTGAACTTTTCTTCTTAGACGTGATGAAAAGAAGGCGTCTGCAGCACAAGACAGAGGGTGAGACATGGGATTCATGACGCCGCCTTTGAAAAAGGAAGTAAGTGGCTGCTGGTTCGGATCACTCGAAGATGCGACATCATGGAGAATATGCAGGAGGCTCAGACATTGTTCCACCAAATCGGCGCTAGTAATTTTTTGACCGGGAGTGTTATCTGAATGCTAAACAAATATATTTATTTGGTTGATTGAGTGGAGTAATTATTATTTTACAATTGAATTTTGTGAATCATACTGGAATAATGAAGGGGAGTTTGTCTAATGACGAGTAAATGAGTGACGCATTATCTTCTCCATGTAATCCCTCCTCGGAAATTGCGGACGGCTTCAAATCATAGGAGTAATTAAGTGTGTACGTCCGTTGGCAGTTACTCAAAGTCGGACTAATTGGTCGTTTTAGCCTTCCGCATCCAGGAAATTCTTCAGCCACTCCGATTCCTTCCTAGGACAAGCGAATTTTAATGCTACATCATTTGCTGTTCCAGGTGTTCATTCATACACAAAATACTTATTAAAATGGTTTGCCAGCGAAAAAAGAGGATTTAGCTTAAAAGCAGTTAAAGTTATTTTAAAGGAGTGAATTAGGTGAAAACATTGATAAGGTGATTTTTTGGGTGAGTTGTGTGAAATGAAAGGCATGGATGAACTCAAGAAAAGACTTCATTGGACAGGGCAGTTCTACAACTGGGTTGTGAGCTCCACTTGACATTAATCACTAGTCCTTCAACTACGTTAGTAAAACGAACACAGTAAATTAGTACTTCGTCCAATGTGCAGTCAATCTATCATAGTACCAAATGAAAGCATTTGAAACACATTTGCATATTGGCTTGTGATTTCTACATACTTGGACGAATGTTTAAGTTACGATTAACACCTGTTATCTCTAATTGCAGATTTCACCATTAAACCATACTGATTTATGGGAATATCTGATAAGAGGATGGGAGCTTCTGGGTGCTTAAACGGTATATCACGCTATTATACGATTAAAGCAAAGGTGACTACATTTGAAATGGACTGCGTACCATCCAGCAGTGGAAAATTGAAATGTCGGAATTTGGAAGCGGTTGTTGACCTCTAGGACCAGGAATAGTTATCTTCACTGAATTCAAGCTCGATGCTGACATCCCATCTTCACTTGGATCAGATCTATTCCAACTTAGCCATAAATGCAACTTCTGACTCCTCAGATCCGTCTCTCCTCGTAATTCATAATTCCCTTCGCTGGGATCGAACGCTATCGTGGCTGGTTGTGACTGACTACCCGATCTCGAGTCGAAGGGCGGAATAAAGCCCGGTAAATTCGCATCAAGAGTAGCGATCTTGGATTGATTAGAGCTATCGATGCCACGTGTGAGGATGTCATATGCGTGTGGGGCTGTTAAACGGTAATCGACGTCCTGGGATGATGAATCGAGTGCACAGACTGTCGAGCTTCCACTATGCAAAGTCCGTAGTGGTGATAGAGATGACCCATAAAAAGAAATATTAAAGTGGAAGTCACTCAGCCGAAATGCTTCCCCGCAGTAAGGCAGAACTAGCTGACCGAAATTGACAGGTGTTGAAGCCGATAACTGGGGTGAATGTAATGTCTCCAAGGTTTCGCCTTTCTAAAAGTAACATTATGAATCAATGTGCTTGAAAAACATAAAATTAGCAGTCTACCATTACCACAATTCCTAAGTGGCACTTTAGTTCAAAGATAGAAGGGAACAAGAACCCTCAATTTGAAAAATATTTTACTGTCACAAAAGTTGATAATTCTACTCGTGTACCAGGGTAAGAAGGAAACCATATTTAAGTTAATGAAATTTTAATAAGCAGAAACATTATCTACACTTATGAAAATCGACTGTTAACGAATGTAGTGGCTGAAGACAAATGATAACTAGCTCACCTTTTGTCTTATAACTTCTTCACCCAAAGGCTGGTCTATCGATACAACAGAATTTTGTGTTGCTGTATTTTGTCGTAAGCCCCATTCCTCTTCCATCACAGTGGTCAAGTTTCCACAAAGTGCTATGTTTTTGGCAAAGCTTTGTAGGGCCAAATTCTCAGGATCAGGAAGAGCTAATTCCATTAATGACTATAAAAACAAAACTGTGTAAAGAGGCAAAAGGAGCTATTTCTTTTAAATCAGTTTGAGTATTTTCTTACGCTTTGAAATACACCAAATAGGCAATAAACTAATTCAGATTTATATTTGGCCCAAAAGTCTACCATATGCAACACAACGACTGCCAAATCGTACTATAATCAGCGTACTAGCCCAATGGACTCCAAATGACCGCATTTTGAAATGAATTTACCATTTAAAACGAGATCTACAAAAAATGGTCTAGGAGGCGTTTCCGAAGCGTTTACAATTTTAGTGTATTACTCAAACAAATTGCCCAAATTCAACATTTTATTTAAAATGTGGAGTTAAGTCACAGGGTCTGCGAAACGGTACCTGTGCATTTACTTAACGCTAGCAGCAGAGCCGTCCCACTAGTCATCTGATAACACTCAGCTACACGAGCTTTACACGGGGGTTTAGTCATCATTAGCAAAATTGCATTACTTTAAATCTATCGGAAGCTAATGATTAGTGGTCCTTCGAAATCTCCTTAGCTGATCTGTATATTATGCTAGACTGGCGTTTTACTTAGAATAAAGCGCTAGATTGTAACTGAACCGTAACAATATCTTTGCACAACCTACAGTGTGATTTACTACATGACTTGAGAAAATAAATCTACTGGGCTGGCTGCTGTTATCTTTCCCCTTTGGTGAGCGTTCTATGACCACACAAGATGAACACTCGCCCTGATTTTCATTTGGGATGGGCTTGAACCAGGCAACTGTTGCATAACCGCTCTCAACTCTCGAGAGCACTAGTCCCAATGACAATGATGATGCCTCTGACAGCCAAGGTGGATTTTCTCCATCATTTTTGGAAGAAGGTGGCCATATTTCTTTCAAATAGCTTTCTGGAAGTTGGAAATTTTTTAAAACTACTATAATTCCTGGCTTGATCTGTGCAAGATAATCAACCGTGTCTTCAATGACGTCAAACTAAAAAAGTGAAGCATAGTTAGTCAAGTTTTGCGCTTCAGTGCATGTTTAAATAATGGGATACCTTAGAAGTTAAGCAGACGCTTTTTAAGCATCCATAAAATTCGATATTTTGCAGTTCAATGAAATTTGAAGACTCATTAAGTTGGCCAAGAGAGAGGTTGGGAGTGCTCCCTGAATTCGGGTAAGCTTCAGGTTCTGTGGATCCAATATGGGGATGAAGGAGACTAATCAACCAGTAAAAGCGATAAGGAGTCCTCGGTGAGTTCACGGCCCAGATTCGCTCTCCTTGGGAACCCCAATATGAAGATGGAGTTTGGCCTCGAGGATAGACATGATGCTCAGAAAGCAAGTCCCACGATTTGCTGTCATCAGAAGCCTAATTTTTACAAAGTTATGCGAATTAGTTTCAAGCCCAAAATAGTGCTAAGTATATTCATTCAAATAAGGTACTATTGATGTTGTCTACATACATCACTTATTAGCAATTACGCACAAAATCCTACTAAACCAGTACATGTGAATTTTACTTATTAAACTCGAAGCAGCTTACAAATCGATCTGGCGATAAAAATTCCATCATTTGAAGCTGTTTGTTCTTTGAATGGGCTCGCATATTGACTCCTTTTTGCTGTTCACATTATGAATGACTCAAAACAATTTTTGCTGATATACAACCATATCTGAACTAGATACTTTTACCATCTAAAGTCCTGAATTTGAACTTCTACTTTAGCTTAAGGAGTGGATAAATAAGCAATAATAATACGTAACAATTAGTTCATTGTTTTAAGTGGCAATAAAAGCGATACATGAATTATAGAACCTACCAACAACTTCCAATGCTGCAAACGAGGCCACTGACCGGATGACATCGGAACCTTTATGAGGTAGTGGCTCGTTTCCAACAGGAATCCCGTATCAATAAAGATCCAGGGTTGGTTTAACATCGGAACGATATGACTTTGGGGCCCGCGTACGTTGATCTTAATCCAGACAGGTGAATGAGTTTGAGTCGAATCCTCATCACCCTTGTTACTGTCTTCTTTGTAGATTATGTTACTTAGATGGAATGGTCGATTGTTGATTTTGGTGTCTGATGTGCTTATTTTTATCCTTTTGAAGAAGCGGGCAGGATTCACGCGATTTTTTAGTTCTCGGCCTCCATTTGTGCTAAGCCAATGGAAAAGGCCACCGAAGTAGATCTTTAGATTTTCACTTTTTTCAACTTTAGTGACATCCGATTCTAAATTGGCCACCTGGATTAAGAGCATACGATAAATTGGACGGAAGAGACTGATTAACACTATTAGAAATCAATTCGTCATACAAAGAATGGGTTTTAATGCCCAATTAAAACTTTTGCACAAATGACTTGCGCATATAAACGAATATGAAAATATTTTGCTTGAAAATGCCCAAACAATAATGAAAGTCATGTTGGATTTGGGCAACAACAAAACTGTCTACTCAATGTGGGAAATATGACTGTTTACTTAATATGGGAAATATGAATACGGTTAATGACAAAAAAGTGGACAAAGGAAAACGATGAGAACTAAATTGTGAACTGTGTTCTGATTTAATAAAAGGTGAAGTATCAATGACGACGTTTTTGAGAAGAAAATGGATTGTTTAGGATCAAGACCAAAGCGTACACTTTCTGATGGGGGCACGAGGAGTATTTCTTGATCCGGTTTTGACACGTCTTGCATGAATCCTACGCTTTCAAGTACATCCATATACCTTTAAATGGAATAAAACTTCCTTAATTGCGAAAACACGTCATCAATTTTGACGTTAGAGTTCAATAGGGCTATAAACAATAGATGGTAAAAGTGAAGATAATTATCAGTTCGTAAACCTAGCTCAAATAATGTAAAAGGTTGCAGTTTTCTAAGGGCAGTAAAAGAGGTGCCTCTCAATAAAAGTGGGCAAAGGTGAACTGACCAGGGCGAATTATCTGTCTTCTCTTGGAGCCAATTCCGCAGCTGGTGAAAAGTTACCAGGGGCGCTGTGTAGATGCGATAATTGGAGAGATCGACTTTTCTTGAATGTATTTGTCTACCGGCCATTGAAGGAGACTGAGTCCTCGAGATACCTCGCAATTTCGGTTGCAAATAAATTGAGCGTTGAACGAGTTGTTCATAGGAGCCCCCAAGGTTAGGCAAGGCTAAAGGATACCTTTCAAACTGTAAGGCAAATGAATTTCAGTAATTGTTTTCATCCAAGTTTCTAAATCTACCTATGAATCGTGCATACACTGACTTTTCCAGGATTACTGACTTTAGCGGAATTTGTTCCTTTTACGCATATATTTTGATTAAATAGCCTAAACCGATTTTTCAGCACCACCTTTTCCCTAAGTGCTTCCAAAGAAGCAAATACACATGCATCAGTGGATCAGGTTGGTCACATTAAAGCAGATATTTTCTGTCCTTCGCCTGCCTGGGTTACAATAACTGTAAACGCTTAATTTGTTAAATTAATTGATACCATTTACACTGAATCACCCTTCTTGAAAATGAGTACAAGTGATGGTGCGGGATTACTGTAGATTGAAGTAAACTTGGTAGGTGAGTACATTATTTGATTTATTCCATGGAATGAAATTAAATCAGAATAAACTTACTAACTCAAATGTTTCGATAAGTTTTCTAATAAGTCCTTCCAAAGCATCCTCAAATAAGTTCTTCAAAACACGCTGTTGAGATGTGACTATACCATTATTGAAGACACTGGAATCTCCCCACGAACACAAATCTCTTAGACGGTCGTGCGAACAGTGCTGAAATGCAAAGGAAGCGGTTCATTACATCACGCGATTGAAAGTTTGTGAGCAGTTTATTAAAAATGAAAAGGTTTTTAATTAAATGATCTTAGATTCTAGAACCTCTCGATAATCCAAATGTTTGAGCGGTATTCCCATTAAAACCTTCAAGAATCCAAGGCGTATTTTACAAAAGGCATCATTTAACTGAAAAAATAGACTGACGTAGAAAACCTAAGTGGAGGAATGGAAAATCTGTCCATAAACAAAACCCTTGTTTAAAAGTGTTGAATAGGTGTAATTACGATCATGCAAATTTTACTCGATATTTATATCCTGCTTTTCCAAAATCTCAATTAGGGAGCCAACCGGCCAGTTTTATGCGTTCGTGCATTCGCGGTGTGCAACGCTGTGATGTTCGAAAACATTTATCGATATTAAACAGATGATTTAAAACCAACCAGTCGTTTGCAGATGGAGACAGAGAGTACTATATTTCCTGGTAAACTGGGAAGTCTAATTATACCGTAATCAGGTACATATTTGGTGCATCTCAATAATTTCCAAAATTGTTCGTGGGGATAAGCAGAATTTTCCTGAAAACCCTTAAGAAGCTTTAAGAAAATGTTATTGCACGATGTTCTCGATAGGAGAGAAATTGGCAAATGCCCAGCATGTTCAAGTTGAATAAAAACGAAGTAGGAACGGTGCACTTTTCCAAACTTTGGACTTGCATGTTTTGTTAGATCAAGCATCAAATATCGTGAGCACAGTCGTACATCACAGAGCTGAATTTGATGCCAGCACTACTGTTTGAATAAAATGAAACTAATCCAAGGCAAAAAACGGTAAACAATAAATCGGTTTATATTTTATTTTCCTCACCTTAAACAAAGCTAGTAGAGCTGGAATCAATTCAGAAGTGACAACTTCGTAGGGCGTAGCGTTAGATATGGAATCATGCAAGGAGGGACATTGTGATAACTCAATTTTGTGAGTTTTACATTCAGACTTTGTTATATTCTCGCAGGTCCTTGCCATGCTCATGAGAGTTAACGTGTATTTACTGTACTCTGCTGTAACTATGGGTTTCAGTGTTTCCAAAAGTTCGGTGCCTCTTTGAATGAAACAATCACGAAGCTTCCGAAGGTAGCAACTACGATAGCTAAAAGATTAAATATGTGGTCCAGGAGGCTATACACATTTACATTGTTTGAAAATATCCGACCTACAAGGTTCGGAGGAGTTTTCTTTGACTGAGCGTCAGAGACTCAAGAAAAGGATGAAGTCTAGAGGACGAATTGGCAACAAGGGAACTACTCACCTTTGTAATCTGGCAGTTCGCGAAAAAGCGTTAGCTCTATAAATCAATGAGCCATCTGTTCCGAAAAACCTTACACCACCAAATCTTGACGGTGAAATGATAATTTTCTCCGAGCTGACATCATCTAATAAGGTTTGTTTAGCAGTTTTTTGTTCTTCTCGATCCTTGATCCAGCTCTTAATTGAGTGCCGATAAAAATCTGGGTCGAAAGCTCCGGTGCACTCAATGTGATTACATGTAACCATCTCATTATCTGCAGTTTCAAGGGCTTTCAGGTACCGTTCCGCTCCCACAGCTTCTCTCAGGCCCACTACAAGCCCTGATGAGCTAACACTGAGAGATAGAAGTCCTGCAGTTAGCCGATTCAGTGGATTGACCTTAGTTTTTGAATTTTGATTTCCTTCAGATTCAAAATCACTCTCTGTGGTGCGTAAACGAGTTCGGGTATAATCGAAATTAAAAATACTCGGACTTTCCTGATTTGGTGTTGACAGATCCACAAAACGATGATTATCAGTAGAATCTGAAGGCGACTTTGTAGTGGGTGCGGAAAGCGGCCTTTTCTCAGGATTAAGCTCCCTGCAGGTGGCGATAGAAGTCTTCTTTGTGACACAGGCTCTATCTTCGGGAGCAAGCTTACTAGAAGATGCAACGGTTTTCTCGATAGGGAGTTTGTACTCTGGCTTACAAAGTAGAGTACCACATGTACCGTGTAAGGTCTCTGGACTGGATACCTTTGCTTGCGTACACTTGAGAGGCAAGGGGATGACACCAGCTTTACAACCGCACGTTCGCATAATGCACGCTTGACATTTTAACCACTGGGAGGTCGCGTCTAAAGTAGTACATTGCTATTATTATTGTCATTATTTGCACAAAAGAACACAATTGCGATTAAATCTGACGGAAAATGGGGAAGAATACGTAACGTTTTACAAGATTAATCTTGGAACATTCCTTTAATATGAAGGATGGAGTCTGTGTTATGATAATTTTGGCAAGTTGTGTTAATAGATTGCTCCAGTCTTGTCTAGCTGGGATTTAAACTGCAATTGAAATTATCTTTAACATATTAGCCAGTTCTGGTAACGGGAAAATAAGTTAACTACAAAGCCCGTCTGATGCTAAGACATATATTTTCAAATCAGGGTAATTATTATGGAGTATACCTTCATTATCTCTGATCTGACCACCTTCAGCACTTGAACCGAGGATGATTGTTTTCGCCTCAAGCTTTTCCAAGTTCCTCGCTCTAGCCTGATCTATTTCAGGAGTGGATTGTGTTTCTTCGCCCTTCATGACTTCAGGACATGTAAGAAGGGTTGCGAAAATTGTCGGAACCATCAAGTAATCCAATATTTGACGCAGTTTTACTTCAATGTATAACGCTACATATTCCTGCAGTATGACGACAGAGGAATTCCCACTCCGTAAAACGAACCAATCTCCAAACTGATAAGCTTGATCCCAGCTGATCTCATAGATGCATTGTGGTCTCACTCTTGAGTTTCCCTTGAAAAAAGTACTTAGGTGCATAAATTGCCTCATTTTCTGAAAATGACTCCTCGGATGGATTTATTAAACTGAAGAGAATTCGAACATACTAATTCATTATGAAGGCATTGAAATTTATATTCCTTATTCTCTTAACGAATGAAGACGCAAACTCATAAATGTAATCGCCTTAGTCGATCCCAGACGAAGGTAGAAAACATTTCGTATACTTTAAGAATGCTCAAGCACATGAAATAACAATTCATGCTCATCCAAAAAACATTTGTTGTTTTCATTAATACGAAAGATGGAAAGAGGATTATTAATGTAGCCATCTTTGATAATAATGATTGGACTGTCAAATCCATCCAATTTTATTCAAAAAAATTTACATGATTTAATTCAAAATTGTAATGAAAAGGTCTGTAACCAATCAGCTGTGCATAAAAAAGTACAATCAATTTAAAGTTAAAGATTCATTACCCTCCTTTTTTCTAAACTTACGTAATTACTTGGATTTTCCGTATTCTCATAGTGTGTTACCTTCAATTTAATTAAAAGTTAATAATCAGGAAAGTGTTTAGATGGTTCTCGGCACACTAACTGAGAAGGACATACCTCTGGATCAGTCAGGTCGTTGGGCAGATAAATAATCCACTTTTTCTCGTGTTCACTCACATCTTGTAAATTTTCCTTTAATAGGGCTTCAGCCTCTAATCGCCATGAAAGGAATTCGAGCACTCCGTGACGCTGTAAACCCTCCCGTACACCCGGGTGATCCACAAGCGCCGAAATTAGGGAGAGCACTTGGCATGCCTCCGATGTACACCCCTGAGCAACGAAAGGGCATTTAAGCACATAGGCACGATTTTATCAAGTGCTATGACGTCAGTCTCAGGACTACGAACAATCAGCTACTGTAAGCCAAAAGTAGATCCAAATCGAACCACTTACATGCAATACTCAAGTTTTTGAAGAACAAATAACTAACTCAAATACATCTCACTTGATTGAGCCCTGATGTGATAAGATTGAGAAGCTGAGTTCGTAGAGAAAATCGTATGGTCTGGTTCTTCGAAGTTTCCTGTTCCTCTTCTTTCAATGTGAGATTGATCATAGCATATCCAGGACAGGAACGGCAGACACGGGTTATCAAACAAAGGGCCTGTAATCTAACAATAATATGGATTGATGTCACAAGCCTAACATGAATTGCACTGCCAAATTACAAGTGTACAAAATAATACATTTAAGTATCGCAGCAGGAAATTTAGAATGCTGCCCATAAATTCAATTAATATTGTGACGTCAAGTCCCACTTTTGAAACCACAGATCAAGCCTCATCGTATGGTCAACCATTAACGAAGTGCTCCTTTCCCTAATAAATAAAATCAAACCGTAAGTTTACCATTGCTTAATGTGTCATTTACGGTAGTTGTTATGCATCTCTGGACGCTCAAGACATCGAAATATGCCTCTTAAAAGGAACAAGTTGTTGTTTACCTTAACAAAGGGTTCATGCTCGTATTGTATCCCCTAATGAGCAGTGGAAGGCTTTTCTTCATGAGTTGCCCCGATGTTCCTTCTTGCAAGATTCCGAACTGTGCTTGGAACTCTAGGAACATTGTAGTAAACCGGTCAGTACGTACCAATACCAAGTTGGTTTGACAAAAATAGTGTTAAACATAATTTTACAATTTTAAATTTAAATTGAATTTTATCACACTTGTAACTGTCTTATTTTCTAGGAACTGCTTCCCATTGGCTAAAAGGACCGTATTGTGTGTACCACTTTTGCATAGAAATATTGATATAGGAAGTAGATGGTGACTTTTTAGCTTGAGATAGGTATACACGCTTCATGACTGTTTAAGTCTACCAATTTGTAATCCAGTTTATTTTTCCTATCGGACTGAATTGGTTATCAAAGGTACAATGCTGAAAAATCAAATGGACCCCAAACAACAAGCTCAAATAACAAAATTTAATTTAAATTTAGTCTTTTAATAAGCAGGGCTTCTAAGATGTGTGTTGACTACCTTCTTCATTAATTCTTAGCAGTTCAGCTAAGTCGCTCTTTTCGCAACACTCCCTTGGAGTACGACCAAGCGTATCACGAAGAAGTGGATTGGTAGCAACTCCAACATTACTATTTCGAAGAGAGAGGAGAAAGCGCAAAGATTCAAGATCACTTTGAGAGGCGGCGACATGTAAAGGAGTTTCTTTGAGACCAGAATTTGGATCTGACCCGCGATTAACCAAAGCCATCATCGCGGATGGATAGCGACTGTCTACAGCCGAGGCGAGTAGAGATCGCCCCCCCAAGTCGTACCAACAAGTCCTCATTTGCACAGCATTCATAGCCATAAGTATATCGACTAAAATTTTTAAGAATATATATGTTCTAACTACAGGAGTGTAGGATTTCAATTTTCCATAGCTCTGTTAGTATATTACAAATACTTAATCAAGATGCTATGGTGAAAATTTGCCGAATTTCACAAACTTATCCGACTCCTTAGTCATAATTAAGTAGGATGGCTATCGTGTAATACAGGTCAGGTATTATATAATTTTGCATAAAGACCTATAAGGCGCATTCAAAAAAGCTAAAATACCCCGTTTTATTGTTGCTGTTCGTAAAAATACGAGCACAAGCCATCAAATTACCTATACTTGTTTTATTCACTATTGCGCGCTTAATCCAAAGATGAAATACATTGCTGACAATGTCTAAATCGTTCGATAAGCCAAGATTATCCAGTTTTGACCGAAATGGAGAATAATCTTGCCCATCTTGAGGGACGAAGAAGGATGCAAACGGTGACTCCTTAACTTCTGTAGAAACACGGAAAGAGACGTATGCCTGAAATCTTTTCCAGGATTCTCTAATCTCCGGATCATCTGCAGTTGTACAGATAGAGGGTGACTGCTGCACAACGAACGGCTCATTTTCTTCGTAAAGAGTGATGTAGATTAGGCCGTCAAGCAGGTTTAGAATCAATGGTTCAAAATCCGAGTCTGTTTTTTACAAAAAGAATAAACGTAAATGAAAACGTCAAGAAAATGTTGTTAAATTTCAATCACCCAATAAATAATCATTAAAACCAATAGCACAATAGCACAGAATCACAGCACGGGAAAGTCTGCTTTTCACTTAAAAATCCAAATACACAACCATGAAAAGTTTCCAAACCACAACGTACTAAATGTGCGATTTGTTGCATTTTTTTGCTTTAATTCATCTGGTGATTGGTATGCGAGCACTTCACATATTTCGCTGAACATGCTTGCCTTGGATACGAGGCACTTTAGTAAACTAGGCTTTTGAAAGCACAGATTGAGAATAAGATCAATAATTAAAATGACAGAAGGCCCGTTGAATTGGTTAAACAACTGACTGTTGACTTCCATTGAGGAGAGTAAACCAAGACCTTCGGTAGCCTCAACAGCTGAAAATTGCGATTATTCCACTTAAAATGGGGGTTTTATCCATCTCATTTAACGCAAAATATAATCAAGATGTTTAAAATGGGGTTGCAACCTAGGACAGTACTGAGTCAGGTAGATTAATAAAAGTAAGTGCAAATAATGAAACATGGTAAAAAATCCGCACGTGCAAGCTTGGAGAAGTGACTGAAGGATTCCATGTCTGACATCAGCAAAAATAGCAAGCATTCGAGTAAACGGTCACCATTTAAGGCCTCATTCATACAGCCAAGATGCACCGAATATTTGAGGTAGAAATTCACAATATTGTTTAGGCTTTCTAGGGCGCCAAATTTAACAATGGCATCACGATGAAGGGATAAGTTAAGTAACTTGAAAATCCACCGTCGAAGATCTTGCACCTTTTGACCAGTTGCCCTTTTCTCAGATAACGTAAAATTAGTCGACCTTCTAAGGGTTTTTTTGAACCATGAATCGATACATTTTGAAAGACGACACATAATGTTCAATCCGGATCTATAAGTGAAAGTTGCATAGATGGTACTGGTGTTTCCATTTGGACTTGTAAAAAATGTAGTCTTTAAGATTTCACCTCCAAACAACATCATGATTGATCTGAATTTCGTATCCAGACCAGAGTTATGCTTAAAATAATATACTTGGGATAAAATAAGGGGAAAATAATCATACAAATATTATTAACAGTCAATTTTGAGGTGATGATGCAATGTTCTGAAAAGGTAAGCACAAATGTTCTCACACGCTATGGTGTCGATTGGGATTGGCAGGGGAAAAACTATTTACAGAAAATCGTTTCTAAAAGCTACAAAAGTTACCATGATTACAATCACAAATCATTACATTGTACAGTAATCAAACGTACACCAATGTGTCATGATGAATCTTCGTCCAATTCATTAAAATAAAATCAAAGAGATGATGAATGCCATCAATCATTCTAATGTGAATGTCTTTTCTTGCACATTCATCGATGAACTTTAACCAATATAAACGACTATTCCTACCTTTATTAGCTGCTGGGCAAGATCGCTCTCGATTTTGCTATTAAGATCGCATCGAGATATTCGATGCGCAATAGCGCAAAACAGTGATTCTTGATCTGTCAAGGAAGCAATTGTGTCAAACGGTAATAGCTGTACGTAGTATGTCATAACTCGAGCCGCTGTTTCAAGAACAATAGTCTCAACAGATGCATCAAGAAAGAAGTTGACCAAGATTGGAACAAAACTCGTGGGAGGATAAAATTTTTTGAGTGAATCAGCACTTTCTGCCTGTAGCACAATTGAGGATAGCTGCTCCAGTGCTGCTAAATTCAAATCTAAATTATCATTTGCCTGAAGCAATTCTGCCAAAATGCTGGCTTCCATCACGTTGTAACTCCAAACACGTTATCGCGCGACCCATTTAGCACGTCTCTCCAGCAATTACAGCTTTAAACAAAGTGTGATTATTTTCAAATAAGGAGACAATGCAAAATTCAGGACGAAATATAGGCTCCTGAAACTAAAGACAAAATTTTGCCTTCAGACATTAGCAAAGCTGCCACCACAAGTTGTAGACATTAATGAATAAGATAAATTTAGATAGAATATATCTCAAAATGAATAGCCTCAGGAGAAGCTTCACTTTATCTTGTCGTTATTTAAATACCTGGCGCCCAATGTAATACTCACGGTATTGCTTTATTTGTTTAACTTTCGGTTTAAGTAAAGGCCCTCCTTGTCTTGGCGATTATACCTAGCCGGGTGAGCTGGCCTCTGGGAGATGTTAGCACCCCTAATACCTTCTGAATATCAGATATGTGCATATATTCTGCCCGAGCATTATATCTTCTTTCGTCCCCAAAGGCGATGCAAGCATATGCGAACAAAACCTTTATTATAAATGCAAGTTACTCACCATTCGTATAATTGGGGGTAACTTCTCTTATCTTTAGTATGAAACTGCACATGGATGACAAAACTCATTTTTGAACCCCAACTGATTTGGAAGCACTTGAAAATACTCACATTTGCTGCATCGTCAAAATAATAGAGTATTTTTTTACATGAAATATGCAACAAAAGTGCGAATCAAGTTTACACAAGTGCAGTGACTTGCACAAAAGTACTTTTTGTTGCGTCCCTTGTCCCAATATTGGATGATTTGACAAGATTTTGTTGTGATTAAACAGACATTTCCCAAGCCCACAGTTCTTTGGGTTTGTCGCATCAGTCTGCACTCAATTTCTGATACCATCATCTCTTCCCCTTTAGCGTTGTTGGCCTTGACGGTTTAAATTAGGTTTTATAAATAAACCTCTTTTTGAAGGCGGAACTGAGGTATTGGGCCTCTAACACGCATAAAGTAACAGACGTTTGGCATGAAATTAATGATCTGATCATTGATACAATGATGAACTCGTTTAGTTTTAAAGTGAGATTTCCGGTCTCTGCCCACAAGTGACTTACAGATGCGCCACTGGATTAACAGTACTGGAAGTGATAAACTCAATCTTCAGGATCAGCTACCGCATAACTTAACTGAGGCACTGAAAATGCGGAAACAGCATGAAAAACTTGAGCTCAGGTTTTTGGTATCCTTGTGTCATTATTTGTTTATGAGTGACTTCGCAGAATTATCTGGCGGAGTACGCATCAATGAAAGACACATGTTTGAAGGATTCGCAGATTGGTTCACTTTCGGAATTAGACTCAAATATTACAAATTTTATAGAAAAACTCAACCTGAAGACGCAGTTTGTTGTTTCCTGCTTTACTTACTTCCGAGTACAAGATGAAGTGAGTTCTTGTTCCATCTTAAATTTTAGCTTCGGAGTCTTCTTGATGATGTTGAAAATGCAACAAAGGGGTCCGATTTATTCAGTCTAAAATCTGTCTTACGTGCTATTACTTGTTTGGATCGAGGAATGATGTCTTCCAGTTCAAAAATAGCACTACTTTCGCATGAACTGCAGCGTTTGAAGATAATGTTAGAACCCGAGGACAACAAATATTTTTATCAACTTATGGACAGATTTCGGGAGGTATGTCAATTGACTGCCAACGCTCAGCAAATCATGAACCTAAGAAAACTAGTCCTATTTAAGGAGCGGCGAGTAAGCAATATTTCTTATTAAGTTCTAATTTAAGCACAAGTCTTTGCATATTCATTGCTAGTATGCGTCTTCTACCCCATTTTTTGTCCTGATTTGTATGCTGATAAGAGGTGCAATAACCATGATACTCTGCAGATTTTAGAATGTGAAGAAAAAATAAATTCAACGGTTGCATTCTTGAGAGATACTGAACTCGAAGTTAATTCAATTTATGCAAGCGAATTTGTTGGGAAAACAGCATTTGAGTCTGCAGCACTCGTCAAGACATATCACAATTTTGCCGGGATATTTCAAGTTAGTTTTGTTTGGAGTATGTAAGCCTACTTTTGCTAAATAAAATAACTCGTGTGGCTTGCTTGTAGGCTACCTTCAGCAGATGTCAGCATTTATTCGATGTATACCGTAGAATGTGCACTATTGATGACCGTCAATTGTGTAAACAAATCGTGTCCACTAAGGCCCACCTTTCAAAGCATTACGCCAAATTATGCAAGAAAATTGAAGAGATAATTAGACTTACATCGTATTCCGAATCTTTTTACATGGCAGCTGACTCAGTAAGTACAATGACTTCGTGTGCAGAGATTGTGGCTTAGGATAGAAAGTGTCATTTAGATATTATCGGACGCTGCTGATATAATATTTGGTGTTTTTTTATAGTTACTTGAAACTGTCAGAAATGCACTTCTTCATATCTGTACTCAACTGCCTTCTGATAATACAGCTATCATGTTAGAAGAATTGAACAATGAATTCCAAAATTTAAGAAAATTTGGAGCCAGCATATTGGACAATATAGAATGTGTACCGGAGATGTAAGTAATCCCCTAATCGATGCTTCCTATCCTCGTTTGATAGTGTTTTTTTCTAAATTTCATTTGTAATGTAACAAATTCTTTTAGACAAATCACAGCATCTGGAAAAGTGAAGACGCGTATCCAGTTAAAACTGTATATTGTCTGCCTCAAACTTCAAGAATACGAAAGAAAAACAACAGGAAATGTCAGTAATCTCTTTAACTGTCCCGATAATTTCGCATTACATTGGTATCACAGCCAGTCGCCAGTGTTGGCTCAACAAAGTATGAAAATTAAGCGGTCACTTTCGCAAATCGAAACCTCGTCAGGCCACATTTCCCACCACTCTCAATGTCTATTGTCGCTTCCATCAAAGCTTGCAAAGTCCAGATCGAATACTCTCATTTCTGATGCCAGTTACGGGAAAAATATGGAGAATGTAAGCTAGCATAACGTTCAGTTTGATGTTCCTTTAATTTTTCATTTTTGGGATGTATTGAACCACATACTTCAAGAAAATAATGAATGTCCGATTCGTTTTATTGCAAAGGGAGCTGATAACTGATATTTCTGCACTGATAGGCATGAACTTGTATTATAACTGTAAACAGCACGCCTAGTGCGTGCAATCTATCGTATAAACTGCAAAATGGATTAGTATGTGTTCCTTTTCTATCATTTATTATATGACTAAGGTTCAGTCAGGGTTGCGAACGAGGAACTTGTGGCACAAGCTTTTCGAGAGTACCTCAAACATTCCTGTCTCGTAATCTTCGACCATTTAAATCAGTCCTCCTTAATGTTTCAGTTTGTCCGTCACCTAAACGGATTAGCGCAAACACATATTGTTCCCATGAATACAGGCACCACTGATGATGCAGATAAGACTCTTCAGAGCATAGAGGCAGCGAAAATCTTGGCGGATGCGGAGTGGAGGAAGTTGGGATCTCGAGTCGGGCTCATGGATGATCGAAATGTGGTTGCCAAACTTTACAGCATCTGGCTCTCACAGTTGACTGGGAAACGCGAAGGTGTACTTCAACGCAAACGGTTACTTTCGCGCATTTTAGAGCTGGGACATGATTTTAATGCTTGTAGTCGAAAGCTGGAACAACTTATTAATGCGGCCTGCTGTCCTGATGGAGCTAAATCCTCAAGGGATTACCTAAAAAAACTGGAAACCATCAATTCTGAAGTGATGCGCCTAAGGAACACTGTTCCTGTGAGCTTTTTCTACATCTACTTGAATCGACTTCTATATGATAATGTGCAACAGAGAACTGGAATTCATCCTTTTGCTTTTAAGTAACGATATATTCGGTCAGTATAGATTTTGATCTATGGGTAATCCCAAGCTATTTCAATGCACAAAATCGACCTCGATAATACACAAACGCTTTGATTCCTGCTGGTGCATTTTGCTCAGAGCATTGTGAAACGTTTACTTGGCATAGTTTTTGCTCTTAGTGCAAATTTTTGATACCCTATCTAATGACCACAATTAATAGGATTGCAGATTATCATTAGCGAGCATTTAAAAACGTTAGTTTGAGGTAAATAGTTCACTTAATTAGTGCAGTTTGTTTTGTAACATATATTTTACACTTTATATGTAAGGCCCAGGAGGAAGTCATGGAGGCCCTTAGCAACGATGTGAAGACCGTTTTCAACGCTGAGACACCCACAGATTTGAGCAAGGTGCAGCAAGTGTGGAGCAGCTATGTGCAAGAATTATGCAAATTCGAATCAATCCTACCGACACTGATGCAGGTAGGTTCATTGGTTTATCCAGTATCTACTTTGTTTAGTAATCAATCATGAAGTAAATAATAGTAGATATATATAATGTGAAGTGATAAATTGCTAAAGAGGAGAAATAGAAATAAATAAGATTATTAAGAGTGTTAATTGTTTACTAAGCATATAAGAACAAATAATTTACGAATAATGCCTCAGTCTCGCAGCATAAATTTGATGCCGTTTGTGTAGTCCCTTTCGAGGTGGTACCACAAAACCAGGTGCCGATGAAAAGAAACCGAAAGATTTAAAGTTGTTGCTCGCACAGATATTTATTTGCACCAATGGAGGTAATAAAATGCTCTCTCTTTTAATTCCAACGTGGTGGAATTGTCCCTTTAAAGCGTAATAAATAGAGGAGGTGACTTGCAACAGTTTGAGCGCCATGATTTCATGTTTTATGATGCTGTATCGACAAAGTACACTTCCCCACCCGTAAACGAAGGCTACTTATGGGCACCATTTCACTGACCGCAAAGCATGTGGTCACGTTGTGAGGACACACCAACCTTCAGTATGAAGTTCATCGAAAACAACTTCTTCGATTGGGTACTTGTGTCGCTTCTACAAAACAATAATGTACTCTCTCTAATCAGAACTCCCAACTCCTTGCGGCAGCTCACGGATTCACGAACAGTTTACAGTCGAAATTCGATGGCATTATACAAGACTCAGAATCTCTTAAAGAAGTCCAGGTAGGTGAAGCTTTTAGTAAGTTTTCAGTATTTACGTAAAGGGGAAAAATTATACCTAAGTGCAATGACAGTAACACAACAAGGAAAAGAAAATCAGCACCTTATTTAATTACTATATTTTAAGTGCTTATGATTAGAATACATCACTTTGATTTTCAGAACTGGTGATAGTACCCACATGCATATTGCTTGCTTAGAATTTGAAAAGTCACGCTATGATGTATTAAGCTTTCAAATGGATGATAACTTAAACGAGACATTTTAATGCTGGAATTTAAAAAATGCGACAAAGTCCTTCACTGTATGCTAACAAATCCAATATATCCTCTATCTTAAGGAGTGTATCTTCGTACATTTCTTCCCCCAGTCTACCTCATTGCAACTATGAACGATAGATTCATATACATTTACTGTTTACATTTGGGTTGATGTTGATGCAGTGGTGTATTTGTGAACGCCCCTTGTGTTTCGCATTTAGCAAGAGGCGGCTCGATTACAGAAGGATATAGAACACCACCTGAATTCTATTGAAAACCCGCTTGGTCCTATACTCAACAAGGCGTCTGTCGAAGGACTTCAGTCGGCCTTGGGTACACTACAAGAAGTCGGTGAGGAGGTAGAGATAATGACAACTAATCTGAACAACTGCATGAAACCAAATGGATCGCCAAACTCGGATTGTTCACCACCTCTACACCACCATGGCCTCTATAATGATCATCAAGAATATGGAAATAGTAGGGACTCTCAGCAGTCTTCTTGGGAATTGCGTGCCAATACGTTGGGATATGAGAATGATGCATCTTTCACCGAAGGTGATATTAGAATTCATTTTTCTTTAGGAAGTACCATGAATTGACAATTGCGATTTGGTTATCATTTGAAGATGAATCTAGCAATGAATTGCAAAACAAAGATGATGAAGAGATTGATTTTGTGGTTTATTATTCTTACAAGACCGCCTTTCGTATTTGTCATGGATTACGCACTTTTCTCATTCTCACCAACCCGAATAATTAAATTAAATCGTAGTTTATTTGACCATATTAAGTTAAGTATTATTTCATTAGATGCGATAATCATATTTCAAAATAAAATAAGCTATCTATAAATTGCCGTAATAGATAAGCAAATGAAACTTGATCTGGGCTCTAGACTCGATTCGAAGCGAACTATCTTAAAATGATTGACTAATAGTTAGTTGAAGTCTGCCTAAACTAAACGGATTTCATTACGTCTGATGTTTATGTGAACGTTGAATTTCCTGAAAAACTACAGACATCAGTGATGAATAAATGTGCAACGTAATTAGTGGCATAAAGAAATTGCGGCGTTTTGACTTAAAATAAGGCTATGCTGAAAAGAATATCAAGCGGGATTATAATGTCATGGTTCTTAATCTTCTCCTATTGCTTAAGCCACAGAACTCGGGCTCCTGCCTCTCAGTGAGGCGTTTTTTCCTTTCATTCTGGGAATTCCTCCTTTATAGGGATTATCCCCCATTTTCCATATGTAATGCTTAAAAATATTCGAAAAATGCCTTTTTAATTACGAGAACACTATGTAAATCTGAAAGATGTCCTCATGCATGCTTAGCGCGAATTTTAAATGTTAGATACTCCTGCATTCCATTGCGCTTTTAAAAATTTTGCCAATAGCGCCTCTGGAAAGCTAGTCGCATATTCCACTACCTTCTCAATTTATATTCTAAATGCGACCAGTTGAATAAGTCTGTTAAAACTTAACAAATTATGCAACTATTGTGATTTTGTGAATTATTCAGATGAAATATATTTTACCAAGCGATCGGATGCAATGCATGCCACGCCAGGGGGTTCCATCACGATACATTGCACCTTTCACGAATTTGACGCGGAGCCAATCGTTAAATGGTCATTCGTTCCCGCCCATCACCCTTCTGATGAAGGTGAATTCGCTGAGTCCTTTCTTGCCTCAACAACAATACCTCGCAACGATGCAAAAAACGCATCTCTTTTAATACCTAACGTCTTATACAAGCATGCCGGTCAGTACATTGTTACAATTACACACCCACGAACTGACAAGCAAATAACAAGCTCTTGTAAGTATTTTTCTACTGATAATTAGCCACTAGAATGTATTTATTACGCGGGGTTATTTTTTAGCCACACTACACGTTAGACCCAAATTAAAGCGCGGCCTTACCGATTTAAGCGCAATCGTTGATGGCAATAAATGCACAGTTACCGGAAAAGAGGTTGCATTTTTCTTGGAATATGGTGGATTCGATAAGATACCCTCTCAAGTTGTCTGGTTGCACAATGGTAGACCGATTGACCCAACAAAATGGACTGTTTCCATCAGTCTGCTAACGACGCGAATCAAGTCGGACTGTCTGAAATCGGTCGACGAGGGCCAGTACACTTGTCAGGTTATCGACGATGAACTTGATGTCAAGTTAGAATCATCAGGTAAAGTAAACTCTATCTCAATCAGGGAAATCCTTACATCATTCCATTTATTTCGCATGGATTGAAAAGTATTTAACCTCATTTATTTCGCCTCATATAGGCGAGCATTAATTAGGAATCCAAACCATGGGTGACCACATAATGAGACTATTAAGGACATAGGATTCATTACAGTTATTTAATTAACTGTTTTAACGAACGATGATGAGCATTCTCGGGAATCACTTGTGGGAGTTATTGGGGAAAAAAGTGATTATAGTTTACTGTACTTTCGTTAATATTTAAATAGTGTCTGGATGGTAAGATAAGTTCCATTATCGTTTCCATGTTTGTCATTTACCACAACTGAATGTGATTACTTTAAATCATGTGTAGTTGTGTCACGTAAATACCTTATCTTACCTTCTCAATATTCAATTTTTCCGAAACTGCCCATCGCCACGGGATGTGTTGCTCTCTTTACCGTGAAAACTTCGCCCTAAATTAAAACGAATTGTGGGAACTGCTGGAATTATTCATGATGCTATTTTGTCACGCCCTCTGAATGTATTTCTGATTTGTCGTTGCGCGAGTGTTTATTGGGAGTTACTTTCCCATCATGGTAGGGCTGACTGCATTATATTTTGAAGTAAGTGAACACCTCATGAAATCGATTGGCGGTAATGGTTGAATCGAAGTGAGTGTAAACCCGTTGAAACATTTTTAGTAGCTAGACTGAAATAATTGAGGAAAGTAAACTATCTTATAGCGTGCTCTATTTCGGTAAATCCTCTGTGCTTCAAATCATTTATCCCATGTCAGCGAGAGGTGAAAAGTGCTCGCCTTTGAAATCTCCATTCAAATGGTGATTATTTCGTATTCTGTGCTCCGTGAGGTAGAATCATATGGTAGTAAGGTGGGAGATCGAATTCATCACTCCATTTACAAATTCTTGTTTTTGCTCTGATTGGCACAATCCTACAATCAATGAACGCTAAGAAGTTTTTTAGGTGTGGAAATCATATTACTAATAATATAATCTACAGTCTATTACCTTTTTTGTAAAAATCCAAACAATTGTCATGACGCTTGTTTCGAAACTGCGTCAATTACCCATATCACTTCACATTGCGGCAAGACATAGTGCTTTCTTTAGCTAGTTTTTAGTGAAGATTGTTTTTAAATTGTGGGCTAATTAGTTTAGATATGCCTTATCAAATAAGAAGATGGGTATTTGATAATATCATTAAAGACGAGACTGCTATGCATACCTGACGTGGAACTCTCTTGCACCGTGAAGCGATCCTTAGGCTACAGAATGCTCTCGATGTTCCCCAACCAGCCTCCCGCGTCTCCTCTCGGACTGGCACCCCGCCAGGAAATGAAAAGTCCTTGTGGATAACAAGGGCCTTGGATAGCTCTCCACTCTTACTCAAGTGTCCACTTCCAAGCATTGCCTTTGAGGCATACACTGGGGCCCGTCGTGTTCGTATGCAGTGGTTTCGTGATGGAATTCAACTCTACGACTCCGACTGGCAGACACCGGACTACTTCACCGGCAGCCAAGGGGTATCGTTTGTCGATGGAAACACTTTCTGGAGTGTGAGCGTGTGTGAAGGCCGAGCAGTGCTGCTTAATACTAACCGTGTCCGTTCGGTTGACGCTGGTCGTTATTCGTGTCGCATGATCATTGATAATGACGCCTACGAGTCATCAGGCAAGGAGTCCATTTCCCGGCACAGCTTCATTTTTCTCTAATCAAGTTTTTCTTATTCAACAAAGTGATATTCATTTTATATTGTTCTAAGATTCAACATTAGGTAATACATTGCAACAGATTACATCCTTCATTTCAAGATACTTGCTATCATTCTAAGGAATTACTCATCTAACTTGTGAGTGAAAATATTTACCAGACAGGCATTATGAAATGTATACTGTCCAAGCCTTGTGAAGGTACTTAAGTTGAAATATGTCCTTCGATCAGTATAATCCTGTCCAGTTTACAGATCGTCAAACAGTGCCTTTGCTTTTCACTCAACAATAGGACCTGTTCCGTGAATGTAAAGTAGCTTATTTAATCGGTGAAGAACTTTTCTTTCTCTCCCATTATTTTTGCCCTCATATTTTGTTTCCAATTATTTTACGTAGAAATCATTTCGTTTTAAATCTTTCCAGTACCCAATTGGCAATACATATTTTCTTCTGACGTTCTGTATATGCTGAAAACCATTGGCATTGAAGAGGGTAGCAGCCGTCAGGAATAAATGTGACAAAAGGTGTATCTTTTTGTAATGCAGGTGTTATTACAGTGTGTTCGAGTCAGCAGTTCGTTCAGCAGCTAACCGGATTGAAAGTGTACCTTGGTGAGCCGGCAGAACTGCGCTGTCGTCTAGAGCCCTGGGTAACTGGAAATAGTCCCGAGTTGAGAACCACAGTCAATTGGTACCACTTTGAAACCATTCTGACACCTGAACTTCAAGACCGTGTTGGTATAAAAACGGAGTGCAATGAAGGGTTGTGTACCCTCCGAATCGAAAAGACCTCTAGGCGTTTCGGCGGTGTGTACAAGTGTGAGGCGAGGAACAAATTTGGAATCTGCGTAACCAGCTGTAGATTACTGATTGATCGTAAGACTACTTTGATATTCGCATAGCATATGTCAGCATCTTTGCCAAAAAACATTGAATAAATGTCGATTTGCCGTATCTTGCTACTTACCGTAATGTAGTCCAATAAATGCGAATGGGTTTACTTTATTAGCAGATTCTATTGTTCAAATTTGATAGGAACCTCAACTGTCAGCCCTTTAGCATTTGTGATTTTAAACGTTATATATTACAATATTTTCTTGTAATAACAAACTATGACTGTTAAGTTTGGTTGAACTAATTGTTGCATTCGTACTCCACTAATAGGCCAATAAGAAATATCGCTGTTTCACTTTGTGAGCCTGTATTTTAATCGCCTTTTAAAATTTGGCAGTATCAACCAGCACCAAGTACCATAGATAGGTAATAACTTAGAGAAAGCTGGAATTTAACTTTGGTTTTTACGCATTTATAATGCTTCTAAAAGGTTTTAAGATACCGGTCGTCACACACCATCGTTTTTGTGCAATTAAATTGTCTCAGTTTGAGTAATTTTAAACCTAGTACCAGTTTCCCCGACTATTTTGGGGCCAATTCAATGTCTGAATGATTTGAATGAAGATGATGCGGCAATTCTCAGAGTGGAATACGATGCTGTGCCTCAACCTACAGTCATTTGGCTCAAAGATGGCCAAACTATAAAACAAGGGACAGGATACGAAGTACCTTAATAAAGTTTTATCACTTTCCTCTTTTTCTTCTAACTTAGGAATATAATATTCCTAATAAGTATATATTGGAAATGTTTACACTCACTTTTGAATAACTAAAACAGGAGACTTATGCATTATACTTAAAGTCAATGCTTCATCAAACTTCATGAACCTCACGAACTTTGACTGGTTTATAAATTCACTATCTTCAAAACCTTGGGTACTCTTAGAAGCTTAAATTATTATTGCCTTTCAGATTATAACGGCGAAAGAAGAAAGTCTTCTGCATATACCAAATTCCCGACTTGAAGTAAATGGTGTATATGCCGTTGTTATAAAGAATGTAGCAGGGAGTGCCGAGTCCTCATACACTCTTCACTTTGATAAGTAGGTCGAAAATGTGATGGAACTTTCTTACCCTGCATTTTGGTGCCCTATTTAACATCACTTCAAAACAATTTCATTCCATCATTATGTATCAGAATAGTTAAGCCATTTGTCAAAATCCGAATATTGAACCAATAGGAGAAATAAATGAACGGTACTGCTAGCAGCGTTGTCAACATGCTCTCTTATAGGTCACTTGAGTTTATTCATTACCCCTAATAATTTAATGCTCTGAATCTGACATAACGTTAAAAGTGAATGACAACCATTTTAAAATAATTGTAATAAACCTGAAGCATATTTAGATCAATTATTTAACGCCATTGGTTTTGCCTCATTGGGTTTGCTTCTCTTGTTGATAATGTTTTAATCGTGAAATTCTTCAGCTTTGGTAATGAACAATTTGTTGATTGGCTGCCAACTTACGATTATTTTTTTCGCTGCTTTTCAAGATATCAACTTTTTATGAAAGGTGAACAATCAACTTTTAGTCGCATGTGTCACACAGCCTTTCTGGAATCTGGACTGTCCGTTCCCTGAATGGTGCTTTTAACCTTAAAATCAGTCATCCTATAGGAGATGTAGCTAAAAAAATTATTTTAGGCTGACTTATATTAAAAATGTGGACGAAAGTGAAATTTCTGCTAAGATGTTCTCGAGAATTCATAATCCGACATGTAGGTAGAGTTAGGATTTTCCTCAAATAAATAAAGTTTCTCCATTTTTACGTTTCCTTGTGTTTGTTATTTTGCACTACTAGTTTGGTCCTTGTTGGCATAATACTTGTGGATGGGGTTAATAGGCGTATGATATGGCTGATTGAAAAGTTTGGGTGTGTTCGACGTTAATAAAAATACGTGCTGATTCTCGACATTTCTTTGCAAATGTTAAGTCGTGCTTCTTCATCTTTGTAACAATGCGTTTGACGGATAGGGAAAAGGCGTCTTGTAACTTACCTTGGTTTAATCTCTTCTTCGTGGCAAACCCGATCACAGTAAGGCCTTGCCTTTGTTCAGTAATTCTTTGAGGCCAAATTCGTTTTACCACGGAATTCGTACGTATTTTGAAGTTTGTAATTGTGGTGGGCATTCAAACCCACATTACCTCAAAGACATTTTCATCTTTTGCAACCAGTTTAATCAAAAATGTTAATCACATGTACTTTCACCAAGTTTCTGTAACTAAGTGAGGTGCAATATTTAACATATCGGCAAAGAGAGTAAACACTTTCTACTCGGCAGTTAAAATCTTGGCCACCTTTTGTTATGGGAGCTTTTATGAAACTCCTCATGCATCTGTCAAATTATGAATGATGTAAATTTAAAGGTGGTTTGTGTTCTCAAAGATAGATATGCAAGCAATATTGTTATGGAAAATATACCAATATTTTGTAGCCAAAAGCTTTAATTTAACTATGATGATGAAAGCTGAAATATCGCAGTAGCCATTCCTACAATATTTCTGCTTAATGCGTTACCGAAATCCAAAGACCTAAGGTTTTCAAAATAAGAGCCTTTGTATTCTTCCAAAAGATTGTTCAAATGAATATCAGCGTGCAATGCGTATCAGCTCTAATAACATAAACGGATTTATGCATCTTGCTGTAGTTATGCTTCGACTTTATTTTGCAATTCTACTGGCTAACAAACACTGTTTAAAAAGGCGGTGCCTGGTCGCCTCGCCAGCATCGCAATAAGTGGGTAGGGTTGCCTGAAGCAGCCTCGCTCATCGCAATAGATCGCTTTAAATTCAGCGTCCGCAGCATGAATGTTTGAACGCGCTGAACATTATATTGATGGAGACGTCCTTTATTTTCTTGCGCACATATTTTGCTTCCTGAATGGCAAAAGGTCGAATTGTTATGTGCACCACATTTTAAAACGAAATAAAATTGATTAATTATCCTATTTTCAGCTGTGACTTTGCTTGACGTCACATTAATAAAAGGAGTTGAGAATGTGGGAAATGGCTATTTTCTTTATTGGTTTGTCAACTGCACTTTTTTATGACAGAAAGGGGGAGGCCTCTATCGTTCGTAGGACGCTAAGCAACGAGAAGTAAAATGGGGGACACACAACATTTAGATGAACTCGATCTAAAAGAAATTGTTTCAAAAGCATAAATTTATTCATTGTTTCTGCTTATAAGCTTATGCACCAGGAGCTAGTGCTCACCCTCCTTCTAGCAATCAGTCGTGCCTGTGTTAGAAGCTGGCATCTTTAACAAATTCCTGTTGGTATAAAGAGCACAATTAGAGAGAGATCTGCAGATTATGTATTCAAAAGTACTTCTTTAGAACTGATCGTTAATTGGTATAAGTAGATTTTATAGTAAGGAAAGTGTTCGATGGATGATGTGCTTTGTTGTTTAGTTTTATTACAAAACGTGATTTAAACATTTTGATAGAATTGCTTTTTAAAAATTAACGAAGTGGGGATTCATTCAGCTTAAATATTGATGGCCACATGTGAATCACTTGCATATGAAAGTTTTTTGCCTTATAATTCGGCGCTGAGTAATGTGCGTAACCAGCGAAATTTGAATTTCAATTATGTTTTCCATATTGTTTTCATTTTTTTAATTTTGTTTAGTAAGGACTAATCAGGAAAATTTATTTCAGAGATAGCGCTATACGATCGGGTAGCCATGCCAGACAATCTCTAATGTCGTTCATGAATGACCAACGTAAAAGAGACCAGGAAAATGCGCCACCCTCTTCGCGGTCAGGAAATCCAGAAGTCCATATTTGCACGAATTCCGATGGTGGTGCTACTGTAGGAGAAGTCTTCACTTTATGTCAACCTGTCCCTATGCCTCGTGAAATACGACAAACACCTGGTCAGTTTACTCGCCCCCGTCAAGGGGAAGGAACTTTAGTGAAGAGATACAGAACTGACAGCTATTTCAGCCGTCCCGCTGAGTCTGTGAGTCAAAATGAAACCGGACGATCCACGCATAGATCACCGATGAATACCTCACCAGGTGTACAAAGTCAACATTCAGACAATGGAAAATCATTCCTCCTCCGACCTCAGAGTATCTCTGCAAACGTTGGCGAAAGTGCTGTCTTCAGTTGTGTGATTCGACCTTCTCCAGGAGTCCCAAAAATTTACCGAGTCTCCTGGCGGCACAAGAACCGTGAATTAAAGCAGGGGGGAGATGAAACGCCCCGAGTGATTACTAGAGCAAACAACCCTTGCGATGGGGTGTTTCAACTCCAATTCACCAACATATGTAGAGGCGATGATGGGGACTATGAAGTCTCGGCTTTGGATGAGAATGATGTGGAAATCTGCAGTGCGACATTTCATCTGTCAGTCGATGGTAAGCACTTGGAAGTGTCCGTAAACAAGCGAACGGCCAAGGCTTCAGTGTCCGTGCGGACTGAGCTTGTACCCTCTAATCTTTCAGTTTAGAGAAGTTACTAGCGTATATTTCTAGAAGTAGGTTGTTCTCTGAAATAAATTAATTAAAATATGGGCTGATAATAAGGAACAGTTTATTTGTCAACTTCAAAATTAGGCGTAAAATTAAAATGTCAAGTGCAAAAAACATTGAAGTTTTCCAGAAAGCATCTATTTTAAATGTTGCTTTGAACAAACTTAAACATCAAAGGAATGCGTCTATTTGGTTAAGTAATAGCAGTGCATTGCGTAACACTTGAACCTATTTTTTGCACTTCTATGTGCAGTGATCTAACTAAAACATCAGTGTATTCATAGTTTTAGCTATGTGATGGCGTTTTCACCACAGTAAATATCACTTTTGACCTTTCCTCCCATGCCTGTTCGTTCCCCTACTCGTTCACTGTTTTTTGTTGCATGAATATATTGCGTGGTGAATTTAATGTTGTTTGTGCACCACGCAAAGATTATCACGATTGTGGAAGACCCACGCACAGAGCCCGAATCACTTCAACAACTAAGGTGAATATGCCATTGGAGCTCAGGCGGCGTGTTGCGTCCTTACCCAACCTCCAACTAATTCATTCGTTAGATAAAGGCCCATTGCATTCCAAAATTTCCAACCAACCCGTCCTCATCGTGGGTCCCAGTAGAAACTTCTTGATGCTCACAAAGAGCCAAAGCAAATGTCACTTGAATGATTCCGTCAAATTGAAGTTCTACAATAAAAATCAATGTTACCAAAATAACCTGTGCCCATCGACTCCACTGCGTTATCGCGATCGTGACCTTTATTGTGGTAATTGCTCCCGATCATTGCCGAATTTGTTTGACTCCGATGTTACTCATCTATCAATAACTCTGGTGGAGAAGTATAGATTCTCTGCAAATCTACCCTCTTCATACAAAAAATCTGGTGCTTTACTACTACCATCCCGTAGGTTTAAAGCTTCGTATTTAATCACCCGCTTTCCTCTCTTGCGATGCACCTTTTGTCACTGAATTTCAAGGTGACCTGCTACTATGATAACAAATTTATAAGTGGTTCTCTTAGAGGATAGGCGATCGGGTAGTTTCATCACCCATTTCGCGTAGCTCAAAGTACATCATTTTTTCCCTAGAGTCATTTTTGAAACATCCATTCGGAATGGGTGGCGTACTTCAATTTGAAGCTCAAAATGCCCTAAAACGAAGGTAATGAAGTAAATATTTCCGCTGAGGAAACAGGACAGAAGTATCATGCCACATGTCTTGCAATTCTGATCAATAAGTCGCAAAAAGATGGGCTATTATGGGCTGTTGTAAAAGTGCGAGGCGAAGTATGGGTACTAAATGATCACAACGAATTGGGTCATTTTCCACAAGGCCCTTCGGGCAACTGGTGCTTTTCATATAAATGGTATTATTCATAGACAGTTTCGCCAGAGAGAAGGAGTCCAATTCCCAAATATTTGTATCGTTTGGGCAGTCTTTTATTGATATCTTTTTCGGGGTAATTTATGACCATTGACAGTTCTTTCATTGTTTGTTAAAGCATGTCAACTTTGAACTCTGAATTAATGTTTGTCATCCTTATTGCATCTATACTTTGCGATTAGTCACTCCAAGGAATTAGTTTCTCGATCAGTCAAACTTGACTTTTTAAAAAGGATTAATCTTGTAAAATGGCATGAGTGGTAAAACTTGGGTGTCAGAGCTATCTTGCTACCTTGATTAGTCCAATGAAGCAGGGCAGCATGCTCAGTCATTTTAATTATGTCTAACGGGGATGTCCTACCCGTCAGTTAATGAGGATGCTTCGCATCGTTCAAGAGATTGTTTCGTTTGTAACTTCTTTTCCTCCTTCCTCATCCATATTTAATCGGCCGGAAGCGTCGCCTCGATACTACAGAAAGCTATCACATAGTAGGCAGTTTTTAAACAATGCTACTGCTGCAGTAATGTATGCGATAATCTTAGCTAATTTGGGACATCATTCTACATGCCTCTTTTGGTGACGGATGCAAACGATAACCTGCATAATTTTGTTGTTTAAAAGCATAACGATTCAGGGAAAACAACAAAGACTCAGCAATTTCTAATAAAATTTCTAAAGTACTTTTACTTCCTCCGCAGCACATTCTTATTTTCTGGGTTTATTCTTAAAAGTCGAATATCTCTGTGAGCCTTAAAATGTGCATATAATTGGGAGCTAATTCTTTCACGGGTTCCTCCAGGACTTTTTACTAGAGTAAATCCTAGTTATGCTATGCCATTACTTTAGGCATTTGGAAAATTTAAGGCGCATCTGTTCACGAATGCGAAAAAGGCTTCAATGTAAGGAATTTCATTCTCCTTAGCCAGTATTAAGGTTTTTCGGAGCAAGTCCTACTGAAGTTAAAATTAATTAGTGACATCAAATCGAAATTACATTTAAGTTACCAATAAGATGGCAACAGTCGAAGAATACATAGAATTATAGTAAACTTTGGTAAGTAAAGGTTTGGCAATTGATGGACATTGTCCGCTAGTTCTTTTCCACATCACATCAAATTCTCACATGTCATCTACAAACGATTAAATAATTTCTATTTTAAGTAGGCTTACTTACCTAACGTTAACAACAAGTAAATTTGAGGTTTTTACCATTTATCAATAATGTGAGGACAGTCTGTTCGCGAAATCAGATACACCGCAACTTAAAATAGTAAGAATTGAAGTAGGTAGAAGAAAATACGACGAATTGCTTCCATGTGCGATAAAAGTCGCAGCTACTAGGCGTATAATGGAATGAACTCTGAAACCGGGATATGGGACGGTATAAATCTCTAATAACGATTGCAATCGGTCCTGTGCTTAATTTAAACGAATTCGATGCCGACTGTTTTTTTTTTGAAGCCAATGGAAAACAGAAATAGACTCATTTGTGCTCAAATTACAAATAAGGCTTCATTCTTTGCTGTTTGCACAAACTTTATTCTGTTATTTATTGATATTCACGGAGTTCCTAGAAGGTTACCCTATCACATCCTCTTCACACTTGCACGAATGACTTCACCAGCCTGCACTACTTTGATAACGCGTTGGTTTCTACAGCAATGTCGGGTATACTAATGACGCTATCTGTGTTCACCAGACAGGAACAGTTATGGGGACGAGGGGAGAGAATCACTGATACGTGATGAGGTTTTTTTGGACAGTCCAAGGCTTCCCTCTAGTGCTACTGTCGGTGTTGGCGAACGGCTGGAAATGACGTGCTATATACCTGGCTATCCCATACCACAAGTGTTCTGGCTCAAAGATGGTCAACAATTAAATGATCACGGCTCCACAAACGACTTTCAGGTACCCGAGATCCATTTGTAGAAAATTTCCTTTTCCTAATACACAGAAAATGGATTTTGTGTTTTACTTAATAGCTCACCCTTTTACAAGCACTGAAAATGTTTTGTTTCACTGTTCGCCGTTTAACTATGCTGTGTGCCTACATGAAAGACCGAAATAGGCATCTGTGAAAGAAATAATGGTTGTCATTTTCAGTGGACATTATTACTTCTCATCCATTTGACTGGTTTTTGCAGTTATATCAAACTAATCTATTTACATTCTAAACGCTCACTCTTTATGATTTTGTGCTTTCACTCCTAACAAATTCTAATCAGTGGACGTAGTTTTTTGGCACTTCATGGTTAAAGGCTTTGATTAATTAGGTTTTTTCTCGTTGAATGAATTAAACCGAGTGAATTTAATCAAATTTATCAAATTCTAGATCAGAAAACGGGGACACGTTTATCAACTTATTATACCGTATGCTCTACCCCACCACGCTGGCTTGTGGGAAGTGATTGCCCGTAATTCGGCTGGTCTCGTGATGAGTGGATCACGCATCGAGGTCAGGGCGACAGAGCGACGATCCCCACCGGTCCCGCGTGATCGTCGCGCACGCAGTCTCTCCCCCTGTGCCCTTACCGAAACGTCACAGAGGCGTGCGAATTTGTGCTTGGACAGGCCCCACATGCATGAGCAGGCACCGCAATTCACTAGATTATTTCGTGATCAAACCGCTTCCTGTGGAGATGATGTTCGATTTGAATGCACGGTGATCGGACTCCCCATGCCTGATGTAAGTCAGCTACCATCGGGTATCAGTAAACCAAGTAAATTCTCCATTTTTATTTTTGTTTTGATAATTTCGATTTAGGTATGGGTTTGCCTTCCAAAGTTGATGTTCCGCAAAATTCACTCAAAAGTCGTGTAGGGCTTTTGGAACATTAATGAACGATGAAATTGTCTCATTACGTTGATTGCACTTCCGATCTCTATTATATTCTAGTATTCAGCTGTGGCAAATGTGGTTACTACGACCACCAAATTGTTCAACTACCACAATGAAGTCCTCATTGAAATTGTCGAAATAGTAGTCAATTTATCATGTTCTAATGTAAAGACATGCGGAATCCGGTTTATGGTATTAGTGGAATGAAATGTCCATGTGATCTGAGATACTGCATAGACATGGGGAGGCATACCCTCCACAGGCATCTAGCCAAGGGGTTTCACCGTTATCTGGTGGAAGCCGCACCTAACTAGCGAAGGCGCTTTCACTCTGTGCGGGTGGTCGTCGTAGGTGCGCACGCGCGCACCGCCGCGTGGCCGAGGACCGACAGCACGCAACTGCCACGAGCGGCCCTGCACTTCGGTCTTCGATCAGGACATCCCCACCTCCACTGATTAAAAGACAGTGCTTCGTCGGCTTTGTTATTGGCATGTTCGGGTAAAAGGTTGAAGACTTGGTTTGTACACAAGGAAAGGGATATAAGACAGCAGTTTGATGTTATATTTTCTTGTCAGTGAGCTGAGTGCTTCAAAAAATGTAAGTACGCCTCTCCTAAATTTACTCAAATTTTTACAGCGATTTGTTACGTATTTCCGAAATGCTTAGAACTGGTTTATCTATTATTTGCACTCCTTAAAACTGCTTCGCAATCACTCGCTCTCGATCCAGCATGTTCGACAAATTTGAGGAAGTGAGCGGAGAAAACCTCTTCTTATCCTAATACTGCTCTTTAAAATGGGAGGAGTAAATTGTTGCTGAATAACCGCTTCCTGTGATATGATACCTAAAAGCGCGCAGAATTTTTCTCTCCTTAATACAGAAGTTGATTACCCGATGTGGGGTTTTATAATACATATTCCAATTACACGATCTCAGTCCGTTAAACTGTTTGAAATATTGAAAGACGTGACTTACATTAGCAGTAATGGAAGTTTTCATTTTAATCTTCGGACTTACTCAAGAGATTGGGTAATAAATTTGGCTTACATAAGATCAAATTTGCAAAGGTATTCCATGCCGGAGTATCGATAGCAACGCAACCTCAATGCAGTGCGTTTCTGACTAAATCACGATATTTTAAAATGTCTTCTACTTCCACGTTAATGAAGATTTCATTCTAAAATTAGTGGTAGCACTGGGTAAAGCAATTTGAAAACACTCGCTGTGAGATATTTTGCCAGTGAATAGTTGATGGACTGAAAAGTTTGGTAAGCAGAACAGTCTAGTAACTCCTGTGAATAGTGTACTGATAGCAAGCTGCATGTCACAAAGATTCGGTTCGGTTGGATATTTTAAGACAATTTTTGCTGTGAACGTGCAGTGCTTATCACATTATAAACACAGGGTGTGCTTTTAAATGCAAATCTGTCAAAAGAATATCCATTTTGTGAAATTGATTTTATTCATTGGTATTAAGTGTTACTCATTGCAAGCTATAACTATTCTTGAATTTGAGATCTAAGTCAATTTTTCTTGCTTTTTGTGCCAAAGTATCCTATTTGACTAAGTCAGTTAGATGGAACATTGCCTGTTAGATGCGCTTTCAATGAAAGTACAAGTTCCCAATACTCTATGTTATTTCCTGGTATAAAGAAAGTACATGGGAAACTTTATTGAAAACGTTTTTGAACGTTCCTTAATTAGACGTATGCCTGCTTGTCGTGATTTAAGTATGTAGATTCATATTTCATAAATCGTCTCTTTGTATGACGGTTTTCAAACTCAGAATTCACTACCTTACTTTAAGATTCGATGGGAACACAATGGAGAAGAGCTTCAACAAAGTACTGTTAGAAGTTTCAAAATTTCAAATATCGACACTGTGCATAAACTTGTGTTGAAGACAGTCGATTCAACCTTCTCCGGCCGGTATACATTGATTGCTGAAAATCCTATGGGAGTGGCGGCATGCTCTGCTATGCTGACAGTTCGAAGGTACGAAGTGCGTATTGTAATCCATCATCCAGTCAGCGTACTTCATCCGCTGTGTTCAGGAATTCCACTTTTAAGTTCAATTTATCTGTATAGTTTTTTGAAGTTATGGGAAATGGAAATCCTTATTCACGCTCTGAAGCATGTATTCTGCACCATTCTTCGCGTCATTCCAACAGATAAGGTGGAATTTAAAAACTGCTATGTACACCCCTATTGCACTACAAATACGCGACCTCCTTAAGGGAAATACGCCACTTCACAAGGCATATCACATTCATGCCATACAATATACTCAGTTATAGAACTATAGACATCGGTTAACGCAATAATAGAATTGTGTTATGCAAATTCTGGGTACACGATTTAAACAACTTGATGAATTGCTGATCCGAGACTTGTCAATAGCCTTAATTTGCCTCATGAACTATAAGTCTTACACTGGAAAATTCAGATTCACATTATGTAATTATAAATGTTTCATCCCAGACCAATTTCAAAGGGGACTGGAGTGGTGAAGGAGGAGCCCTGTCTTACCGAGGTTCACACACCAAGGGGTTCACCTTTTACCATCCACGTCTCACCCAGAGAGGCGTCACCTGTGTTTGGTGACAAAGTCTCAACACTGGATGAACTCAGTTCTAAAAAGATAGTTAATACCAAGGCACAAACACCAAGGTGAGGCATATTTGTCAATGTTTTATTTTTTTAACAAGACTGTTGACATAATTGTGAGTAAATTCACTCGTCAGGTGCGATTAAATGCGCTGGGATTTCTGCATTTTTGATCAAACTGTTTCAATAATTTATAAAAAATTCCTCTTAGGTTGGTTGGTGACTATCACATTATCACTAGTCCGTGAACTATTAGAAGTAAAAGCCGCAACCTTTAAGGCAATAACGATATTTTTCTGACCGCTTTTGATTTGAGGTCAATGTATGGCTAGTGCAGTTTTACTATCTCCTTGTGCCTTCAAGAACTTACGTTTTATTTATGAAATTTTACTTGAACTTAATTAAGCAGATTCTAGGTAGATGATATTGAATCAAGTAGATCATAAATGGGGTATTTTTAGCTGGTGGGATAGAAGATACCGAATAGGTTGTTCGCAACATCATTCCTATACGTGTAACTTCTTCCTTGAAAAGCATATTTCTTTCCTAAATGCTTGAAAATTTGTAATGCTGATAACTCTCAGCATCTCTTACAATTTATTTTCTATTTAGTTCCCCAGGATCAATCTTACACCCCTCAACGAACACGTAAAAACATTGAATGTGCGCACTTTAACGAATTCGGTTCAACTCACCGATCCCAGGAGAGCTTCATTAACTTGTATATTTTAAGAGTTTGGAGTTAATTGCTTGAAACTGTCCTTATTATGCCTATTTTAAATCCCTAACTTTGATGGCTGCATTGTGAAATTATCTAGGTTCCTTTTATTATTTCTTTTACATTCCCGCTTAAGCTGTTTAGTCGGATGTACACCTTACCAAGCCGTACGAATACCAAACAGAAATGTTTTAAACATTTACACAAAGCTTTTGATGTTATTTTGCCCCTTCTATTCGCAAGGTACTTTTCTTTCACTTCCAAGCAGTTTGTGCAGAGCAACGGCGATTGGCAAAAGTCGAAATGAGCTCCGATCTGCAACGTCACAGCACACAGAGTATGGATTTGTCTTGCAAAATAAATTCTACCAGCTTGAAATAGGCGGCCAAAATAATATTTCTTTAGTTTTCGGACGTCGCTATATTCGATCACATATACGTTTTAATAGCTGCAACAGTTAAATGCCCCGAAACGATAGGTCCTTTAAAATACGGGGTTGGTGCATTCACCAGCTTTACTAATAGTTATTTTTATGCATGTCCTTAGAATTTGCCTCTTGAAATACCATTTAATCACACTTGTAATAGTATTGTCAGCGCCATAACGATAACAGCAGAAAGTGTTCGCATACTGTACTTTTTAAGTGGGTGATCGGTTGGGGGGTTTATCATAAAGAGTGGATGTAGCAACTGGGGGAAAAGGGCTGCTGTGGTAACTGAATCCATACTGATGGTGAGTAAGCGATCATCATCCGATATCACTAGCAGTTGGTATGAAAGTCGGTTCAAGTAAAGTGAAACGGTGTGAGTAAGCTAATCTTTGGGTGCCACTGGACGACGAAATATACACCTGAGTGTTACTGAAGATCTTACTCTTGCGATGTGCTAACAAAACATTTGGATCAGATATCCCTCTTAGGAAATCGGATTTCGCATGCCTTTTTATTTATCCTGACATTTCGCCACGCATTCTTGAAGAGTTATTCATTTAAATGATACACTAATTAAAAGTGATGGCATTGTGCGAGAGTGAGCCAAAGAGCACAGCAGTCATATCACCCACACACTTAATTACGACAAGTGTGTCCACGAGATTAAGTGCTATTTCTCTCTTATTTTCTTTGCATCGATTTTGACTTCCAGAGTATTCACATTAGCGTACACGAACAGCTGTCCTAGAGAGGTGTTTGAGGCGTTTCATCTGCTGTCGTTTTTACGGGAAAAAATTACTGTTTAATCGGCTGCGAAAACATTTAAAGTGCAGAGCGGTTGTAGCACGCATTCAGCTTCACGTCAAGCCTCAAACGACATTACATAAATTGAAAATACCCGTGTGAGTAAACACTTCGGCAGTTGAAATACTCCACATATTATTGATTCTCAAACTTGAACCTTTCCAATCATATAAGCAAGATAATTCAAACCTTGAGTATAGTGTAGGTACTGATGCATATCGACTGGTACTAATGAATGACTTTGGGTATAATAATTTGATTGAGCTAATGGAATCACAATTACATGCATTTAATTTATATTTTCTAGGGTTTTTATAGCTTAAAGTATAACAAGGAAGTCAGCTTCCATGTTACAAATTTATATGTTAGATGGATTTGTACCTAAATAGCCATAAAATTGGATTTAATCCAGTTACATTATTAGGATCTGCAGTGTCGTTGGGATTAGAAATATTTAATAAGCCTGATCCATATTTACCTATTACAACTGGTTAAATCCACTCAATTCGAATTTTTAAAGGGTAGAACCAAAAAACACTGAGAAAACCTTACAAAACTGAATTAGATCTACGAAAAATGTCTTGAGATTTCTACGCGCAGATATATTAACAGGAGGAATTAATTGGAAATGATTTGAGACACTGCCGTAACACGCTCGATCTCCTCTTATGTCAGTAGACAAAATGAACTTTGGGAGGATATGGAATCCCTGCTTCTACAGAATCGTTCTCCAATTGAAATGCCCCGGTTTTAATTTTAGCAATACAGGTCATTGCGAGGTTGCAAGCGTTCAGAAGTCAATGTGAGCAAAGAATGTATTTTCAAACTCACACTGGCTTCCACTTTTGATACTTAACATGTATTGTACAGTCATAATAACATTTATTATTATTACAAATGTATACTAATAAATGACTTTTTAAAGAATCCCACTAATGTACCATGGATGCACTAGGTAAACATAATATCATAAAATGACTTTAATTAAAGACTCATTTCGATTTCATTGAGAGTACTTTTAAAATGTATAATTTAAGCAAAATGACAGGGGATTTTATTTCTCACCGGGCACCCAATTGCCATCCCAACCGTGTTCTACCAATCAGAAATGGGTTGGTGCCATTGGTTGGGCAATCGCACGCTTATCTTCAATCAATTATATCCAAACAACTTTCTCGTGTGAATGTTTTTAAGGATTCATATGTGTTCTGTGAATCCTCCTTGTCTACCTAATGTGCTACTCAAGTAAAAATCGAAAATGCTAAAGGTGCTGTCAACACAGGTGACCGCATCAAACATTGAGCCGGTTACGAGCAATTACACAACCGGAACGATTTCCGCAGTAGGCCTGTCTGATGACGGTCTCAGCATTGTCCCCTCAGATTATAATGTGTTCGTCATTGCGCTCTCTGTGATTCAAAACGAAGTAACGCATGATTGTCGACGCATTGCAACTCTCATACTCTCCGGATTCCTAGTCGTAGGAATTCTGTGTAAGTTACTATTTTTCCAAATTATCCATGAAATAAGAAAAAGGGGCGATTTATCTTAAATGAATAAAGTGGTTTTAAAATAAGGCTATGGTTGACTCTAATTAGGGAAATACTTGTTAATTCAATACTTGTTGAAGCAGACGAAATTAAGCAACTTACTTTTGAAATACACTACTAGCATACCCTTCGTTTTCTTGGCCATATGCGGGCAATTTCCTGATGGTCTTATCCCCATTACTCGAGCATTTTCTAAGCTACTAAATTTTTTTACATTGCTTTGTTTTTCATTTGCTGATATTTTATAGGCCGAACATTTGCAATTCAGTAGTAATTGTGGTATTTCACCACATAAAACTCCACTTTATTTCAAATAAGCATAATGTAAGTGAAGAATGCTAAACTTGGGTTGGTTTAGCTCCTGTGATATAAAAAAACGTCGAGTCATAATTATTTCCCATACATTAAAAACATACTAGATAAGCAATGCGTAAATTATTTACGCACGTTTTACTAGACCTTTGAAAGGCAAATGCCATAGCCTTCACATTTCTGGATATTTCGTATCTGATACCTTGACCTAAAGGTTCACATGTTCCCTGCATTCGTATCACCTGTCTAAATTGAGGTCGTTGTTTCTTTCCGTAGAAGAAAACAGCACGAAAATGTTTCATGTCATGTGAAACATCACAAGCGCTATCACACATAAGCTTATCTCTAAGCCACGCAAATCGCTTACCTCATTGCAACAGTAAGTATAATCAATTTTAGTGGGAATAAGTTAAGCAGAATACTCTTAAAAGAAAAACAACTTCCAAAAATCTTTTAAAGCCATCGTCTTAAATACAGTCTATTAAAGTAATCGAAGGATGGACTTGGATATACGTAACTCATTCCAACTCTCGGACTCCAATGTATGTGGTACGATAGTTTCTTCCTTGCCACCGGCTAATAAAGCCTTGACAAGTAATATGACTATGGGATGTTTACTTGGTCAATCTGCTTAAATCTTATTTCCACGTGTCACCTATTTCAATGTAAACTCCTCCAAATCCATTATTGAAAACCTAAACCTGCGAAAACGACCACGCTTTCAGTGACTGTAGAATGATATTTATTAGTTAGTTGGATAAACACCCCAGTCATGTTAGAAACTATGCAATTGATAGTTTTAGTAGCAGGCGGGTGAGTCAAAACTTCCAATGAATAGACTAACTTAAGGTCTTTTCCTTACAGTAAGGGTATAGTATATTATGAAAACCTTTATTAGTTCCTAAACCCATTTTCTCCACTTGAAGCTGTATCATTTCTTCAAAAAAACAATTCGGTAGTTACAGTAATTGCCTTTTAGTTCCCATGAAGATCACTTTATTTCCAGCTGTTCGCAGAGTTTTCGATATAGTTGTTTCGCTGTGTTTATCCGCCTTTTAATGTATATTGGGTTCTTTGGGGTATTTTCAATCAAACACTATTTTATTTTTACGACTAATTAAATCAAGAGTGTATATTTCACTTCCTTCGCCGGATTGTTAAATACGGGTGCGAATTTAAGCAAATCAGACAGAAATGAAACATTTTAATGGCAACTTGTGTTCTATATTAGGGTGAGTGCTCTTTATCGTAGCCTCTTTCCCCAAACAGTATTTGCATAGAAGACTGACTATTTGTTTTCTTTCATGATTGTTGTTGCTTACACCTTATACCAAAAAATAATAGAACTTATCACATTGCATTATCTTTAAAAACCCTCTTAATTAAATAAAATCTTTTAGTCAAGAAACGCACTTTCAAAAGCATTAGTAGTCGGACCCAGGATTTCTAGTTTTCACTCTTAGCTGTAAATTTGAAAGCTGATATTGCAACACACGAGAAACAACGCACAAGCACAGCCACAGCTCATTCATCAAGGGAGAATGCCACCTAAAAGGGGTTGTCTTTCATTAAACTTATCACCTTAGCGCAGTCTAATTAAAGATCACTATTCACAGCACACGGGTCCATTTTAACCAAGGTCCTCCGTTGACTCGACGTATTGCTTTGCAAGTGGACCATTTTTGCTAAAAGAATCTAATTTACCTACTTTACTTTATACAAAATAGTTTTTCAGCCATTAGACTAGTATTAGGAGTTTCATGTTAAAATTATTCCATGATTTTCTCATTTTCAATAGCCCGAGTTTTCGTTTTCATATTTTAGGGCGCGCACATTTAAAATTGCCATAATTGAAAAAGACGATGCCAAAGGTACTGAACTTATCCGTGAATAAACTCTCTCCCATTCACACTACTCTAATGTGCCACGGCACAACTCTCATATAAATCGTCCGCAATTTGCTTTGTGTAATTGTGTGAATGTTTTACTATGGGATTTGTGCTACATGTTAAATGTAATGGTAGTACCAATACAAAATTTGCGGGATTATGGAACTTTCATTCAATCAACCAGTTGAGTAGCCGCTATTGATCATTCGTATGGTTCACTTGTGAACTATTCTATTCTTCCAACAACCTTTGATTTCAGAATATGAGAAATGGCATTTCAATTTTTTTACTGAATAAAATTATTAAAAAAATCCAAGTAATTTTGTTAACTGCACTTATTTTTCCTTTTTAGTAATAATTCCCGCAATCTTACAAACAGCAGCGGCATACCTCTGGATAGGCCAATGTAGAAAACAGCTGGGCCACCAGCCCTTAATTAATTCTCGCAATAACGGATACAGTACAGTTCCGACCGGATTCCCCCAAAAAAATGTTACAGACATGACACGAACGCTATTTATTTACCGAATCCTGGCCTGTGTGGCGTCTTTGTTGGTGTTGCTCTGTTCAACTCTCCCTCAGTTAGTTCTAGCCGTAGCAAATCCTCCTAAGGAAGGTAACATTGACCAATTATGGGGATGGTGTCACGCCTTTGTGTACATGGACCATGCTACCCGCTCATTCGCAACATACCTGATCGTTGTACCCTATGTTCTTTTCTTCTGGGATTTCCTATTCAGCGAAGTAGTTCCAAGGCGTCGTTTGGTAATGCAGCATATATTCCGTGGCATTCTCATATCAGCACTGCCCATAGCATTATTTTCCTCATTGATTGCTGTGCCCCTTGTTTTGTTTCGTTACGAACGGCTTTGGAACGGCACCCACGATGTATGTTTATCAAGCATCAGTGGCACCAAAATCTTTCTGGTGTTCGACTTTGCTGTTACACGGGTTGTTCCAATGGCCATAATTGTTGGGGTGACATCAGCTTTTCTCATTTGGTTGCCTCGACATCATTACGGCGTTTTCTATGAGCCTCTTATATTCCTTTTCCTGATGGCTCCACTCGCCTTCGTCGAAGCGACAATCTACATAGCCTGTTATATGGGCGTAGTTCGCTACCTGGTCAATGAGAACTTTGCTAATGCCCTTCTGATATTCTATGCTTTCTATCACATGTCGTTTAGTAGTACCTTTGTCTTGGCAACTCTGCGCTCTGTTGTCACTGAAATTCGACGTGAAAGGAGAGCTAGAAAACAATTTTCGATTGGTGAGGAACCAAAGGTTGATGAGTGCAGAAGTGCTCGTCGCAGTAATGTTATGCTCGGACTGCAGCGTCAATTTTCTGTTGTTTTCCGGTGGCGCTCCGAATGTGCAGAGGATGAACTACATTTAGAGGAACACGTAAAGAGCAAGAAGTCCGAGACAGATGTAGAAGCGCCTCCAATTCTTGAGGAGACATTTGATGATGAGTTTGTGGAAAAAAAGCAACCTGATGATGTGATCATGCACTATTCTATTCTGCAGCGGTCTGCCACCTATAAGAAGCCAGCTTCACAGAGCCAGAGTGTTAGCCCTACACCGAAACCCATAGCCAATACCAGCGCATTGACCTCCAGCCCAACACACTCTCCGGGTGACAGTTCAAGGAGAAATCTCAACATGGGGCCCAGTCCAGCTTACAGAACTCTGCGGAGTCCTGTTGAGAATGTGAGTTGTAGCCCAGGTTCAATCGCCCAGAGTCACCAAATCGGTCACAGTACCGGTAGTCTACAAAATGTCGGCAGTCAGGCTTAGAGTGCCATTTTGGCAACTGTCTCATTACCAAGGAACGTACAAAGGACTCCAAGATTCGGATTTTGAAGTCCACTTCACTTTATCCAGCCCCAGTGAATTTGACATTTTAATCAGTCACCATAATACATCCGCATTAGTTTCTCCCAATCAATGGTGAGAAAAACCAAAGTACTACAATGCGAAACTATTTTCCCAAAACTACTGGCTGTAAAATAAAATTGTTGCATCCACGTATATTTCAGTTGATTATCCGCCACTTTGGTAACATAAATATTCTGGTTATCCAACTTAATGCCCAGCACCTAATAAATTTAAAATTAAACACAAGCACCTCTAGTTCCGTTCATGATGTTTTCTGCACTAAGCTCATCAAGCTGATAACTGAAAGTTTGGGCAGACCTATCACGAGAGTTATGGGGTGCAGATAATTCACAGAAGTGATAAATCTTCACCTTCAAATTTAAAAGAATTCTCAGTTTAATTTGTTGTCTGTCTATCAAACATGTGACCGGAATTTGAAAGCAGCTCATTTGATCAGGACTAAAACTACACAAATATTCATCGCGTCAGACCAGTGGTGCTGATGTTGACCTGGATGGCGACTATAGTTTTAAGTGCATTTCTTTTAACTTAGTATCTTACGATTTTAAACAGTAACAACGGTATCTTCACTTTGTGTTTTTCCCGCTAGTGTATCCAATGAACAGATTTGAATGTGTTGGAAATATGCTCAAAAGTTTCTGCCGTTTCTGAGTAGTTCCTTAGCTCACTATTGGTTATGTGCTAAGTGGCTGATGGGCATGGGGGGGATCAAAAGGCTAAAAATTCTTGTAAGTACTCCAAGGATATAAAGTCGTTGTATGAAGCATTAATAACTTCAGCTTATCTAGTACAATGGTGATTTTGAAATGATGTAAAGCCTCATATGCCTCATCTCTTGTTTTGACAGAAGCTTGCACTAGATTTTATGTTATTTCTAACATGCTTCCAAGCCAGAATATCCATTGAAAATGATAATGACATTAATATTTGGTTTATACCTTGATATATTTGCACTTTAACAAGTTATGCAATTTCAAACGGGCTCACCTTTGTGAACACCTTGATAATTGCAAATTAAGGCCTACGCCAACATGAAAATTTCAAAAGGATGCTTTCCATGGGAACTCCAGCCTCTCAAAAGCATACACTTTTTTGTCTGCATATTAAATTCTTACTTATTTCTGGTATCAAAATGCATCGTTATTCTTGTTATTTTACTCCGGGGTGTTGACGATAACTTTCCAAAAAATATCTGCTAGCTCTATGTGTTTGTTGATTCAGGAGTAAATTGTGTATCAGGCATTATCCGTAAAACACTCCTGTAAACACAAAACTTTTTATTTGGCTGCCCTTATGAAACAGTTGTCAAGTACACAATGTGAGGAAGAATCAAACGACACAAAAATTCCTAAAATCCCACCCTAATCCATTTGTGGGATTCCCTAATTCTCACATCACGAGTATATTGCGAATCATTCCATTCATCTAAACAATGCAACTTTTTGCCCTTCATGAGTACCGTTTTTTTTTCATTTAGACAAACTACCGGAAGGAGGTATGTAAAAGCTGCAATTGTATTAATATTATTAGCATTCTTGACAAACATCGCACTACACAAGGACTTAAAAAACTTCCTGGAAAAGCCCTAAATTCATTCAAATAACTACTTTTTGATAAAATAAAAAGGTTATTGGCATAAGTCAGCTATTAGTATTCCTTCAGTAACATGGAAGTCTTCCCATAGAGAATTGGCACTTAGCATATCTACATTTTTCTCGATTTTTTGCATCAAGTTCTTATTTTTACCTAAAAACCGGAATCTAATCTTATTTTTTGGGATCTGAGATTTCCAAACTGGAATTTTAACAAAACCTAACCCTGATGAAATTAAGGTATCTAGTAGGATACCTTGCATTCAACATCATGTTGATATAACAGTTTAATTTTATACTGCGTGATATAACCACCTTAGTTGGATTGCATATTGGGCTTCAGATGTTGCTTGTTCGGTCAATCAAGATGGTGTAGTGCTGATAAAGCATAGCATTCATTCAGCAGTAGTTAGTGCATGTAAGAGAAGAAGCTCCTATCATAGCGCATATGCCTCGCATTATTTCACTTTTGGCTTTTAAAGAAAATATTCGGATACTTTTGAAGGGCAATTTAAACCAAGGGAATTACTTCATGACATGTACGAATGGCCGGGTTTAACTTTTTTATTAGTTTCGTCCATCTTCATTCACCCTAACGGCCAGCATTACTCCTGTTGCTTCCATGACAGGTAACCTCAGCGGGCATTTCACTTTCTAAATCGCAATCTCCGGCGATCGTCCTCTCTTTTTACATCCATCCTCATTCCAGCTAAGGTCTGCCTGCTGAAATTCGGTTATAATTTCCGGAAGAAGTTTACCTTTGATTCAACAGTTCTTCACATTGTTTTTGCGACCTTGCAAAGACTCAATAAATTGGCCGATGGCTCGCTAAAAGCTTGTAAACTTTCTATTCTTTTGCATCTTTGCAAGTCAAAATAGCCTTAAGACCTATATAGAAAACATCATGAAAGGCTAGGTACATAGTTCACATCATTTTTGACTGACAGTTTTGTTCGCTAATTTAAACTAGCCTTTCAACGCGGGGGATTTTTAAAATGATAGAGGATCAGCTACTTTAATTTACTAACTTGTACGACCTGCACTTCAAAAAGATCAACGTTACACTGAATATACTCTGAGACAAACATGATTATGTAAAAAACTGAATGATGATGAGTGACTCTGCCACAGAACATGCAAAACAACAATCCGGCAATTCGTAATATCGCGTCAAAAGTATTTTAAAATAAAAATAAATCCCCTAAATGGCCAGCCCAAGTTTAAATTTAAGAATGATTTTCAAGAAGCCACTGTGCAACGTGTTCGAAATAATAATTCATTATAGCAGTTTCTTCTCAGGACTAACTTCACATTGGCTTTTAGCTCTTTAGTCGATAGAGTCCTCTGCTGAACGCTTTGTGCAAACATGATGTTTCCATTTGAGGAAAGACATCAGCATTGTAAGGTTTAATTAAGTACAAATATTGGGTAATCTACCAAATGCAACCTTCTGGGATTCGTATTATTTTACGGAGGGGTAGAAGCAGTAATATTGGGTGCATATTACCGAATATTTGTGCTTATTTGTTCAAGCTAACAGTAGCAGTTAAGTAGTTAGTTCGACTAACCAAACTTTGGAATAAATGTATGGCCCTTAAATTACGTGAAAGCTGAATGGGGGTAGGTTTTCGTTACTCTCGCGGGGTCAATTATTGCATACGTCGCCATTACATAATGTCTGCATTAATATCCACTATCTTGGAATATGTTATTGCAAATACGTCTTTTACTCCATGTATTGTGCAGTGAAGTAAATTAGTTCAGCTGCAGAGGATGCAAAAAATTTACCCAATTTTTAAAAATTTACTTATAGATAACGAAGCTTAAAAATGTTTGTATCAAGTTTTTTTATCATAAATCAACTGCATGCTGTATTTTAGCAGTGGTGTGATCTCCCATCAGGGTAGCAATTGAGTATCTCTATAATAATAAGGTACATTTTGCGTCAAGAGAATTTTGAATGGGTAGGGAATAGAGCTCTTCAATTCTGAACAAATCGGACCTTTCATCGTGGCCTTTAAAATTCGGCTACAATACGTTCCCTGTGAAAATTATATTATTTTACGTCCCATGGGTTTCGCATGGATTGAAGATCCGAATGTCAGCTTCTCTTTTGAGTGTACATTTGTAAGTGCACATTATTTAAGCCAAATGACTGTTATGTTCGCATCCCATTGCTGATATTACAAGTATAGCGTGTATCTCGTCTTAACAGAACAATTCCCACAATTTGTCTTCATCATAGCATACCAGAGAACTTGGAGAATTGCTTTTAGTTGAAAATGACTGTTGAAGCTTTCTCTGACGGCCATTATGTGCTGTTACAACGCAACTGTTGCTGTTTTACTAAATACCAAGACTGTGCGTTTTACCAATTGTTAGCGGTTGAAGCTAACCTAAGATTAATTTGTCTTCTGCAATTGTAGTTGAAGATACACTTTCTGACCTCATGTGTGCCACTGCTGCTTACAATAATTTGCAACACGCATCATATTGACGGCGGCAAAAAAGAAACGACGTACTTATTATAGGCACCGATTGTTTATGTGATATGTAACACGACACCTATAATTCAACTACGATTTTCAATTATCATTTCATGATGACAATCAAAACCTACTTTACTTCCTAATATGGTAGAACTTTAGACGCTTGTGTCGCAGTATAAAGCCAAAGAAAGGCGTACTCATGAGGATTAATAATGTAATTGTTTTCTTTCCTTCTGATTTATTGCCAGAGGCATAATAAGTAGATTACAAAGTGAGGTATGATTGCGCAACTATAGATTAAAAAATCTTTACATTAATATCTTAATGAGTACCGACACCTAAAAGTTAATGAATTTGGGAGAAAGTCACTTTTATTTTACTGCTACTCGATTATTTAATGGCTTTCAAACAACACAATTTGACTACTGTGCAAATTACATCCTTTGTGAATAATCTAATCTAGAAGACCAAACGTTGCAAGAGAGGTTGATTTGATAGAGGATTGTAATGCGCACGCTACTTTTAATATTTTCCTAGGTCTGCATAGAGGGAAGTTCTATATTAGCTAGCACGAAAACGGTCAAACTCCAGTGGCTTACGAGTTACTTAAAGTATTAATAACTGGGGGCTATGATGCAAATCTTGATTGGCGTTGTGATTGAATAATGCTTTTTGTGAATTTTTAAGTGACGTAAGAGAGAAGGAACACTCAACCATTGTAACTGAAAGAAATAACAAGACCTGAGTAAACCAAAATGGATGGCTGGATGGAAATCGGCTTCCAGGAAATTCCATCTACGTAGCGCTCAATACCAAATAGCAGAACAGAAATTCAAGTAACTCTCTCGGCTTTAACACTGGGAGGGACAATGGAGTAGTAGTTGTTTGTGTGTACAAATGCTTGTTACTGAGGTAACTACTACTCTAATCACACGACATTATTCAATTTAAATAAACTGAATTTTGAGCTACTAGCTCATATTCGCACTTAATGGTACAATTGTAGCAGAATATGCAATGACATCAATGGTAATGTTATGCCTACACTTAATTTTGATCATTTTTAAATTTATTAACCTGCGGCAGGAGTAAATCAAATGGTTACTCGTGTTTGGATATACTGCAAAGTACGAAATTAAGATAGGGCGACAACCATAGATAATAAATAGATAACCTTAGAGAGGTATTAACAAGTTGGTTCAGTCCGTCAGACTGTTTCAGTTTCTGGAGGCATAATCTGAATTTCAGTGCCCTGACCAAAGGGGTCCCGCAGTGCTGCCTCTTTTCCTTCCTCTCCCTCGCCTTCATTGCACTTCTCCTTTCCCTGTCCAACTTCCTTCTTCGGCTGGAGTACAGTTGATCTGTTCCTCGGTGTCACCATGGTAATTATACAGTTTCGCAATCGGGGATAACGGTTCAGGCACTTTTCAGAGCAGCAAATACAATTACATCCTGTAGTGTAAACTGTTGTCTTGAGCACAAACTGAGCATGATAGGCAGTTAGAGCAATTACTATCCCTGTACCGTACATTTCAGTCTCTACCTCCCTACTGAGGGTTATTCTATAGGCCATCGCAGTAGCCATAAGGAACAGCATCGGCATGTTTAGAATGACAAAATTCACGTAGTAGCATCGCAGACGAAAGCGCATCTTTGAACCGCCGTTGAGTTGCACCTTCGCAAGAACGCCTTGGTAGAAAGCAGCGGTGATTGCAATCATCGGAAAGAGGACAATAAATAAAAAGTCGTAATAAAAGTATGCCGTTGTAATTTTGCTCTCATACTGATACATGTCGAATCCAAATAAGGAAGGCAAAGTGGCGAAGAATGAAAGAATGTAGATTATTCCAGGTAGCGCGTGTTTGCATATGTACACAAATTCTCGAGTTGGTGGTTTAACAACAGTTTCCTCCTCTCTCTCCTTTTTTTCGCTAGGAGCAAGGAATTCAAATCCTGGCATTTGTCCGTGGCCAGGAAATAGCATCTCTTGACTTGAAAACAAAGGGGGCAGGGTTAATGAATGCATGTCAGGCGAGGTAGAGCCCTGCCTCTCAAAAAGCATTGAATTGGTTGCGTTTTCTGGTGAGAGATGCTGGCCGAATCCTCCTTCGACATTCAATAGCGCCATAACCGGTCGATTTTGAGGGGATCCTCTAAAGCTTGTGCTACGTGAGGCCTGATGTGAGCCCCCTGGAGGTATGTGAAGAGTTGCGTTAGAGAGCTTTGAGGGAGAGCCACCACCAGGTCCAAGAAAATTCCCATAGTGCATTGCCTTAGGTGAGGCACTCGCTTCGGAGCCAACATTCATGAGGTGACCGAGGTTGACGCGGGGAAGTACATCGGAACTGTCTGCACCGCCTAATCCGGGTCGTGCATGACTCCCCATACTCATCTGACCGGGTCCGACTATGCCATCTACGGCGGTGGACATAGAAGGACTCCGGTTGCCCGTCTTCATGAGAGTTTGCAGGTACTGCATCGGTAGGCCTGATTGCAGAAATTGAGCGTAGTAATACATGCATTCAGGCGAGTTCTGAAACATTCGTCTAAACTTATCGTCCTTCTCTGGAGCAAATTTGTCGCGAAGTACTTCGATGATGTGCTCTTTGGTCCAGACTGCCCGAAAGGCATTAAACCGGAGATAGTTGCGCCAGAGCCAGCGAATGATGGGCATGCGGTAGGCCCAGTAAATCATATGATAAACGGCTGCGGTGCGAGCAAAGAGGTCAAAGAATTGGCGCGCCTGCATGCAGCCCACTTCACTGATGAATTGAGCATACCGCAGGGGATAAGGGAAAAATAGGGGTCTGGCTATTGTCGTGAAGATTGTGGGCACAGTAGAACAGAGGAGCACTATTATTTCAGGGCGCTGGGGAAAACTTACTCCAGCTTTTCTAACATCAACCAAATTCATGAATCCCCAAGTTGTAATATTTTCTAGAGAAAAAATTATATGATGAAAATATTCAGACTCAAACAAACAGGTTGACACTTTCTTTGCATAATCTCGAAGAGAATAAAACAAAATATGTATCGTAGACTCTCTGAATGAACGTGCTTGGTATGAACAGAAATACTTCCAGTTAGAGGCATCTACCTGGCTGATGTTTGGACAAAAAAAACTATTCAGTAAAGTTGGAATAGTTTGCGAGTTGAACCACCCTTTGTGAGGTTGCGCTAAGTGTTTACATGAACAAATTCTAATAAACTCAACAGTAAGCACAGGAGATGAATCATTTAACAAAGATTTGAACATTAATTTGTTTTATAAAAATTAAAATAAGGCTACCAATCGCTTGACATGCAACAGCCAGTTTTGAGACATTTTACGACCACAAATTGCCACTACTGTTCTGTGATAGTGGGGAAAATAAACGACTCATTGCGTTCAATTTTATACAAATAGCTTCAGTTACTGTTACAATGTAGCGGAGAGATTTAATAAAAAGTTCACGTTTGTAAATATGTGCTTGATATCAGATGACATACTGATAACGGCGAAGAAAATCATAGTGAGTAGAAATGTTGTGGCAATAAGTGAGATAACCCAATTTCCAGTGCAAACATATCGCTGGAACTCCGGCTCACTCTCATCCACATCAACCACACAGGGGTGCTGAGGGGGCACAGTTCTCATTTGTAAGGAGGCAGGTGTGGTCTTGTTGATGTGCGCCTCAACGACCGCGGAGGTGGTGAGTTCGTCTGTAATTGGGACTTCTTTTAAAGGAATTGCTTCATGGGCCAAAAGAGTTGATGAATCGCTTTCAGTGCTCTCTTCAAAGAAACCCTTAACCGTCACTGACGAAGGAGCAACTTCAGAAGTCCCCAAGGTGTAAAGTTGCGCCTCATTCGCAGGAGTGTTTGTGAACGTTATGCCAGTAGTGCCGCTAAAATCGGTTTGCGGCTTAACCTCCATAACGTCAGTGGTGCCAATTACTGGAGGGTTGGTCAACATTAATAAAGTGAGGACCAGCAGTACCATTTCATCGGTCATTCTGCCTAAGGTGAATGTAATACCACAGAGGAAAGCCGAATGGGTCTAATGGAAGACGGGCTGGGCAGTGCGACTGTGAACGTGCGATGGGGATAGCCAAGCTACCCCGAGGCTATCGATTAGACATTGAAGGGATTGGCAGCCAATCCAGTGAGGTTTGGAAGTGCGCCTTTCGGTTCGCGCGATTTCGCGCAATTCGAGACGAATTAAATAGGGTCTAACAGGAGGATATGGAAATGGGAAAAGATGGCTCGATTTTTGATGATCATCGATTACGATATCACGTGGGTAACCAAGTAGCAATGAATATAAATTCAGTATATGGGGAACTCTACCCTACTTTCTCACTGAACGCCTTAGAAATTCTCGAATGCACGCAACAAAGAATCGCTATGAAGCTAAACCCCCTACCAACTTTTCCTGCTTTTGCGTTAATCAATTCCTCTCCTGAGCGATTAGGAACACGAGTCATGATAGGCAAGCACTGCATACGAGATAATGATACTTTATTCACGAGATCTCATTTCTAGAGTCATGGCTAAACTATGATTTGGTTTGTCACCTCG